TTGATCGATAGAGTGGTCACAAAACTTTTATTAATATCATTTTAAGTGCTTGAAATAAACTGTGGAACTATTTTTAGCAGATCTTTTGGGTTTTAACTGTTATAAAATTGAAAAATATATATATATTTACAAAAAAAAAAGTGATATATATATAATTTGAATTTATATTTTTTTGATATTTCTTATAGTTTAGATTTTATAGAAACCCAAAATTTATTTTAGGGGTTGGTTGAAATAAACTGTATGGAATATTTAATTGAATGGAATATTTAAGCTACCCAAATTTTAATGCTTTTGGAGGAATTTTTGAAACACACAAGAAAATAAATAAAATAAAATAAAAAATGGATGAAATGAAAATATTGTTTGATGAGACAGAATAAAAATAAAAAATGATTAAAAATTCGTATATTTTAATAAAACAATAAATGAAATGTTTGTTATTAAATATTTTTTCATTTAAATAAAATAAATAAATAAATATTTTGTTATAAATTTGTATATATGAAATGAAGAAATTTGTGGTATATTTTTTATTGCCTCGTAAAAAAGAACAAAAAATCAGAAAATGAAATGTTTTTATTTTCTCATTTAAAGTTATTTCGTTTTGTTTATTTATATATAAAGAAAACATATTTTTATTTAAATATAATATTTTTCAAATATATTTTTTTAAATTCTAAGCAACAACAATCAAACAAATTTATATTTTACACTATTTTTAGCGCATGAGCCGATATATTAGGTTCAATATATATTTTTTTTTTCTACATTAACATTGGGGCACGCGCACATCTCTAAGACAAAGCGAGCGAGTCGAATTCTATCTCCCTCTCTTCTCATTCCTTATCTGACATTTGAATGGCTGTTGTTGTTGTTGCTGTAGCGCATTCCACGGTCGACTTCAAATATGCAAACATTCAATTTCGATTTAGAGGCTGTGGAGGCGCATAATTTTTATTGTATTTATTGAATATTTCGAGCATCAAACGTTGCCGCCCATTGACTCAGCATGAAATTACAGTCGGTGGGGCGGGTGTGGGGCGTGGCAGAGACAGGCTTCAGCCCCAGCTCCTTGGCAGGGGCGACAGCAGCGAATGCTTGTCGAAGCACAGCTGCCGCCTTTTCTTCCCTCTATTTGGCAAGTTTTCCCCAGATCCCAAGCCCCAAGCGCCTAGCGCCAAGCTCCAAGCCCTTGGCAGCCATCTTCCAGCCCTTGGCCTTCCCCTGGCCCTCTGCACAGCCGCTGTCCCCTATTCAGCCATCAATTTGTGTAAATTTGAACTGTCACTTTGAAGGCGTTAATTGGATTCAATAAATGTCAAGCAGGGCGCGCGGCGTCAACAGTTGGAGCCAGTGCAGCATCAGCATCAGCATCAGCATCAACAGCTGGCCATGGCTGGCGTTGTCTCTGCTGCCGAATTCATTTTAAGCCAGCACCCATCCACAAATCTCACCCCCGCACCCACACCCGCCACACGCCCACACCTTCAGCCCCTTTCAAGTTATATTTAGGACACGACACAACAACATTTTGGGGCCATGGATTTTTGTGGCTTAGATTGGAGGCGGGGACGGCGTGTAGTGTGCCTTAGCCGCCTTGGCATGATTTTAGCCGGATTGTGGGCGTGCCAACAGCCACAGTAGCAAACACTTTGTCAGCATTGAGCACTGAACGAAATTGGGAGAGATTGGAAATATAAGAATTAGAGAGAACAGCATGAACCGCAGATATTCTAGATGATTGCAATATCTGAATTCTCTTTTTAGGTGTCATACTTACGTGCGTATGCCCATCCGCTCTTATAACAGTATTTTGCTGTATCAATCTCTCTATCTTTCTTTGTCTCCCTCGCTCTATCTGTATGACTCTGCCTCTATCTCTGTACTATCGCTCTCGCAGTATATCTCACTGTGTATTTTTTTTTTTCGCCAATCTTTGTTTCTTATACTCCATATTTCTTTCATTCTCTGTCTTTATCTATCTATCTCTCTCGCGTTCTCTTTTGAAGTATGTATTTTCTCTGTCTTTCTCTCTCTCTCTATACATTTCCTTTCATTATCTCTATCTAGCGCTTTTTATCTGTGCATCTTGTTTCTCTCTCTCTCTCACTACCTAAACATCTTCTCGGTCTCCTTCTCTCGCTCTCTCACTCTGCAACCATCTTTTTCTCAGTCTCTACATATGTATCTTCTCTCGGTCTCTGTTTCCTTGTCTGTATCTCTCTCTCTATCACAGTCACTCGCTCTTTCTATCCGTACATCTTCGCTGTATCTCTTTTTCTCTCTCTACATCTTATTAACTGTATCTTTTTCTCTCTGTATCCTCTCTTTCACTCTCTCACCTACTCTCTCTCACTCTCTTTCTCACTCTTTTTCTTTGCAACTCTGTCGCTCTCTCCCTATCCCAGTTTCAAGGAATCAAGGAATTCCTATTAACAACAACAACCTCTACTCTCAATTTCTCTGGCACTTTCGCTCAGTGTAGTCGAAGAGTCATATCGCAGTATTTCAATGACTAAAAATACATATTACACACACACACCCACACACATACAAAACACACTCTCATACACACACACACACAAGCGTATATGGGGAGTACTTAGAAGATATATTGTTGTCTGTGGCTTATCGGCTAAGGACCTTAATAAAAATGTTTCCCTAAGAGGATCGCAGCAAATTTGTTGGCTTTGTTCGGGCTGTGGAGATAAACAAAAGACAAATTGAAAGTGGAATTGTGATGGCATCGACAACGGCGCTGGACGTGTCCGGCAGCCAGCCGACGCGCTGCACCGCTGAGCCGTCGAGCCGTCGAGCCACCGAGTCACTGGGCCGCTACTTTATCATTGAGATAAACAAAATAAACAAACAAAAAAAGAGTTGAAAGCAGGCTAAAATCTGCACGCAACCGGATGAAAATTAAATTAAAAAGCAAAAAACAAAAACAAAAAGTCCAACAAAAAATGAAACGGAAATATAAAAATGAAAATGGACCAGAAACGGAACAGTGGCGACGGCGGGCCGCTGGGGGCTGGCGAAGGGCAAATGCAAATGCAAATGGCCGTAAAAGCCCTTTGGCCCACATAACTCGGCCACGCCCACCGGCAGCCGTTGCGCCCGGCTCATTCTCGTGCGGCGCGCACGCCTGTCAGCGTAAATAAGTGTTGCCCACATTTCGGGCCACTTCCATGGCAAAAAGATGGCCTACAAATGATGAGCAGCGCATAAAAAAACGAGGCGATCAATTCTATTGCCTACTTTACAGCGCGTCTGACAGCTGCCCCGAGTGTGCACTATGGGTCAAAAGCCCGATTTTTTGGAAAAAAGTCTTATTTTCAAGTTGAAAAAATTTACAAAATTTTAATGCCAATCCATTAAGAATACCCTATATGTAAATGTTACATACTCAGAATTTTAACAGAGGCGCGATCTGCTAACTAAACTGCTGTTAAACAGAGCTGTTATGCATGACACGCACATTATCATGTTGTAAAAAAAAACGGGCTTTTGACCCATAGTGGTGTGCCTGCGTGTGCCTGCGTGTGCGTGCGTGTGCGTGTCTGTATGTGTGTGCGTGTGTCATGCATAAATAATTTAGAGATTATGTTCACGCTGGTAGAAAACGGAAACCGCTGGCTTTTAGCATTTGACCGCAGCAATTAGGCAGAAAAAAGTTGGAAAATACTAAAGAAAAAAAAAAAAAAAAACAGAAAACATAAATAAAAGTAGATAAAACATGCAAAGACCACATTCAGTCGACTGCACAGCTCATTACAAATTATTGAATAGGCCATTATAATATGCACAAAGGCCAGCAGCGTGCGGTTGACAAAGGAAACATTAGCTGGATGCCGAGCCGAGGCCCATCAAACGGAAAAAAGAAAAGAAATATTAAGCTAAATTCTATATGCTTTGGGCTTAGCTGATGATTAGAGCTGAGAGCTCCAGCTAAACTTAGTAAATTACCTTCGTAGTGAAGTGAATAATTATATATATTATGATATACGATAGTTGAATAGTCTACATATCTGATTGATATTTGATCGATAGCGATAGTTGCACAATCAATCGAGTGGAAGATCTTGTTTATATACAGCTGAACACGTGAACAGTTAATGCTATGTCCAAGTTAATGTTAATGTAAATGTTATGTTAATGTCAATGTTATTATAATGTTAATATTATTGAACATATATTATTGGGTATGTACGTTGGGTAGTAGTTGACCTAGTTAGCACATTACTGGGGACATTAGCCACATTAAAAATAAGCTAAAGATAATTCAGTCAATTAGTTATTGCCTATTTTCCAAAGAGAAGATGCCTTATAGAGCGGCGTCGTGAGTGGTGATGAGTGGGGTGTGTTCGATAAATACTCCCGTTATTTTGTTATTGAAAATAAGTCCCGAAATTATTGTTCCTATACCTTTAAAGCTAGACTCTCCAAATTTCATATATGGATTCATATGAATTTTATAAAATTTCGATTTTTTTTATACTTGCTTTCGGTTGATTTTATTTTAATATGTAATATGACAGTCGTGCACTCGGCATTCCAAATTTCATATCTCCCATCATAAACAACTCCGTTACGCCGCTGATGATCTTTAGGTATATACATTATAAACAGTAGAATCTGGTTATAAGGGCTCCGATTATTGCTACGAAAATTCTAGTCCTCTGACTCGCTTATATGAGCAAACTTATATGGTTATAGCCCGTCTCGGGTACTAATGTATATATTTTATGCCCCTTTACATATACACTCATAAGGTACTCGAACAGCTCATCCATCTAATTGTAGAGCTCTAGCTTGATTCGTATATCAGCTGACTACAAACAAGCCCATTCCTAATTATTCCAATTTAGAAGTAAGCAACTAGTTTACATACATATATATCAAGTTTATATACATTTCCTATAGTTGTTTTTGTTGTTTACACTTACAGGGTATAGCAAGATAAAATCATCAGAGTTTGTTTTTCTCTCTACTTGCAGTTTCACCCGAATCGATTGTCATCCCCATCGTTTCGTGCATCTTTGGCTTCCCGATATTGGCGCTAATCGTCATCTGCTGCCTGAGACGTCGAGCCAAGCTGGCCCGGGAGCGGGACAGACGGCGCAACTATGATATGCAGGACCATGCTGTCAGCCTGGTCAGATTTAGTCCAATTCATAGGCTTAGTGAGTTTGAATGTTGTAATGTGTGTACGAAATTTTCATTGTTTCTCTTGTTCTTCTTCTTGTTTTTTTTTTCTACTTCGGCAATTTGACAATATTTATTCACAGCTCGTAAAAGTTATCGAAATATCGATTTTTAAATTTATTTATATGACAAGTTTTCATAGAATTCATATTCACATTTCATATAGCGCTCGCTCTATCTCTCACTCTCTCTCTCTCTCTCTCTTTCTCTTTCACTCTCATTCTTTTTTGCTTTTTTATGTGGATCTCAATGTGCCTGTCTGACATATCGTAGTGTTTATCTTTATCTCCAACATTTTGCACTTTAACAAAAAAAATTAACCACGATTCACCGCAGCCAACTTCAAGCCGATTCGACCTGCCCAATTTACAATTTTTTTCCCCACATTGTTTTTCTTGCATAAATTGCATTTAAAATTGCCAAGCAAACATGTGAGAAAACACACGCACACACACACCTGTCTGCTACCTGACCTCACAACAAATTGTGTTCCCACCTTTTCGAGGCATTCAATTTAAAACCCTTAATATATGTATATTCAGAAATGTTGTATGCTGATATACGAAATTTAACAAAATATAAAAGTCGCTCGTAAAAATTGTGCGAAAATTCCTGAAAAACATTTTTAAAAATCTTTAAAAATTCTTTCGGATAATTTAAGCTGAAACAACTTTATTATAGTTCAGCTCTACACATTCGCAATGAATAGCAAGAAGGAAACTTTATGCTCATTCATGTAATCGAAATGATTATATTGGGCTTGTTCTATGCTCGTCTTGCTGTCCGTCCGTTCGCCTGTCCATAAAGAACGTTCCAAATAATATATATCCACGGCTGATGTGGGCGTGGCAAATCTGACTACATATCCTTATATATCTTATTCGCTATTAATGCTAGAGACTTGAAAGTTTAACATAAATAATATATGGCTAATATATCTACGACAATTATGGGGGCGTGGCAAATCCGAAAATGCATCTGGCAACTCTTGGACTGTAAATGTGTCCTATGCAGTCTTTGGTAATCTCTCTATATTACATGGGAAATCGAGTGAAGTGCAAACTAGATCAATATAACTGTGAAATTATTAAACAGAGTCTAACAGAAAAACGCACAGAATTCCTATATAACACTTTGATTAGGTATTACTATCAGAATGTACAAATTTCAATCAAAAGACATCAATCAAGTAGATTGAATAGGGGAATGGGAATGTTCTAACCAGAGCTTACTAGATGAGTAAATATATATTTTCAACAAAAAAAAAAAAAGAAACACATCTTCCATTTTCAATAAGTTCGGCATATAAAAGGAGAAAGTTAAGAGCTTTCCAAATAATTTATTAAGATTTCTTTTAAATGGGAAAAAAGGAAGAGATATATAATTGAAAAAGTCCATAAAAGGGCAGAACTACCCCAGTAGCAACAAAAAGTCGGTAAAAATATTTATTTTGTATTTAATTTTTTAAGAAAGAAACTTGCCATCCCAGCAAACAATCACTGCCAACATCTGTCACAAGGGCCGAGTCCATTAAAGAGTTACGAACTGGAAGTAAAGAAAGAGCCCAAAACTAACGCCAAATACATGCATACTGTTGCTAGCCAGGTTGTTGGTAGAGGTGGTAGGGGGGTAGAGGCAGGCGAGCAGGGGCAGATATAACGAAACTTGACCCACTTGCATGCGAGAGTAGGCAACAGTAACATAACAGTCCATTATACCCAGCATATTGCATGAACAAATAGGATATATAAACATGGCCGAAAGGAAACGAAACGAAACGAGACGAGACGAGACGCAGCGGGACGGGTGGCATGTGAACACGACTCCCAAGTCAAAGTTCAAACTGAGTGCCTGCTGCGACTCACACACACACACACACACACACACACACACACACACACACACGCACACACACACACACAGTGGGAGATATTTATGCTGTTATGCATGTGTCAAGCACAGCTGTTAAACTGTAGCCCAGTCTCCCAGTTTGCCACGCCCCCTTTTCCGCTCACACGGCCGCCTGCATTTGCATTGCATACCTTTGGGCGCTCGTCCTCGTTTGCATATGAACAACAAAAATGAAACCCGTCTTTTCACTCGAGCCATCCCCTACCGCTCCTCGCTTACCCCCTGGCCACTGTCCCGTGCCACTGCCGCGCCGTGCCCCTTGTCCACCTTAATCAAGAATCTCAGTCGCCTTCATGCACGCATGCACAGTGCACAACGACATTTCTCTTCTGTTAGTGTTAATTTTTGTGGCTGTTGTTGTTGTTCTTAAATATATACCTAATAAAGGGTATCTGCTAGCTGTGCATGCGAATAGGGTGGCTATGCGAGAGTAGCTCAATTGGCACGGCATACGGAGGAGGTGCATATGTATAATTAAGAGTCACAGAGACTCAGAGCAATTAACATAATACTAGCGTAAGTCGGGTACAGTAGAGCCTGCCTAGTGCGAATGCATTGATGTGAAAAGCTGATAATCTCTATAATCTTAATCTGTGAGTGTTAAGATTAGCGAATGACAACTGCAAATCAGATTAAAAAGCTAGAAATCATATTTCAACCAATTTCTCAATAGGCAGGACCTACTGTAGCTACGATTATCAATAAAGATTTCGATTTTTCAGATTAACGAAAAGCAAACCCCAACTTCAAATTCAAAGAAATCATATTTCTGCAAATTTTTCTATACGCAGGTCCTACTGTAGTTTGGAGTGCCAATTAAGATTCAGATTAAGATTAAAGAGACAAAAATTGTACTCAAATTCAGTTACTAGAATTCATATTTCTACTAATTGCGCTATAGACAGACCTTACTGTAGTTGCAATTGTCAATTATGATTCAGTTAATTAAGATTAACAAAAGAAGAATCCCATTAAAACTCAAATTCATATATCCCTTTAGGTTACCTTTACTGTAGTTGGGATTATTCAAAAATACCTAAAGAAAATAGAAGCAAAACTCCCACGTCGTTTCAATATTCACAATAGACAGGGTATTCCGCAAGTCGGGCACACTCGCTGAGTGCACTTCAACTTGTATAACCGTAAATTTCATATTCAGTGTTTGCCTGGCAGCTGGCTGCGGGTGTTTGCTGCCACTTTGAGAAGGGCCAACAACAACAGCGAGTGCTGATGAAGCTGTTGTTGTTGCACACAATGATGATGATGATGATGATGCTGATAATGACGATGCTGATGATGATGTAGGTGACACGATAACGAAACGTTGACAAACCGCAAATTACACTTGTTTAGCCCCGCGCCCCTCTTTACCATGCCCACAACTCTGGCAGGCAAATGTTTTGATGGTTGCAAATTTACGTTTTTGCATAAATTTTGAAAACAATTACGCATAACCGCAAGCACCGCACAAGAACCACAATAACTTTGGCGCAAAAGGCAGCCAACGACACAGTAACAGTAACAGTAGCAGGCAGTGCATAGTGGTGCGCTCTATGTAAAGTAGGCAATAAAAAACAGGCGGAATGGCGCCTGCCTAATGCTTTGAGACATTTAAATTGGGCGAGTTTTATGTTGCATAGCTTTAAGCTGCACTTGGACAAGCATAACATTGGGTTAACAGTCGCCATCAATGCTTGCGCTGTTAATGAACATAAACAGTCACTTAAGGATCCACAGAAAAATTCCGTTTCTTTAACAACCGTGCTGTAAATTGAATGTGCCATATGCATAACAGCAAAAGCTACTGCTTAGACGGCGAAGCAAAATAATACACAACTGTTAAAGTGCTTAAACGTTAACATGTTTTAATGTTACTGGCAAAACAGTATTTGGGCAATTAAATTTCCTTTACTTTAAGCTGCAACAGCGTGAACCTCTTAACAGTGGCTATAGCTGATAATTAACAGAGATAGATAGGGATCATTTAGAGTACATAAGCTTTACATATATTACATAGCTGTAATGTGACATGAAGCTGAAATTAGAAGTGATGCACATAACATGACCATTATGCGCACATCCTGTCAGACTGCGATTGGATGGTTTGGGTGCGTTGCACGTTTTGAGATGCACATTAAACTTAACCTCGATCTGCTCGTCGCACGTTTTCAATTTGTTGTTGGACCACACGAAAGCATTCGCTCATTTCACACTTTAACATTAAACATTTTCCATTTCGTTTGCTGCCGGCATTTTAAAGGATATTTTAACTAATTTTAATTGCTTCTGTTCTGTTCTCCGTTTTGTGTTTGCTTCGATTGCTTTAGATTACCGATCGTCGAGAGCTATCAGTTTACGTCCTGAACGAAGCCTAAGCCAGGGCTTCACCTCGGTGGAGCTGGACACAGTGCTGGAGGAGCGCTGCAGCGACGTGGAGCAGACACAAACCGAAATCATAAATCCCGAATCGCCCATGGACACCACCTCCTACAAGATGTCCTTCTCTTCGAGCTAACAGTTAGCAGTAGCACAACAGCAGCCGCAGCAGCAGCAGCAGTCGACATCGCCGACTGCGCAGCCGCAGACAGCAGCCATGGCTATGCAGCTGCTGCCGCCACGTTCGATGTCATCGACGTTGACGCCGCCGCTGCGCAAAGCGGGCAGCGTGCGCGAATCTGGCGAGACCGCGGCGCTGGCCAAACGACGCAGTCGCCTGCAGGAGCTACGCGCGGCAAGCAGCAGCCAGGCCAGCGAAGCGGCCATCGCGTTTGGTGTCGGCAAGCGCGATTCGAAGCGACGCCATGGCGCTAGCGCCGGCGCCGACACCAGCAGCGGCAGCAGCAAAAGCTCAGCAGCGGCCGCCATGCGCAAATCACAGTCGCTGGACGCCGCCGAAAGCTATTCGCTGGCCAGCATTCAGTCGCCCCTCTGGGTGACGCTCACCAATGCGCGCACAATTGAGGAACTGGCTCAGCAGAAACTGTAAATATTTTACAGACAACAAACGGGAAACGAAACGAACAAGCAACGGAAAGAAGGAAGGAAGATCAAAAATACCCCACCAACCAACCAGGCTTGTTGTTGTTGCAGCTGTTAAATGTTAATGAGGAGTTACCCGCTCCAAATCCGCATTATGAAATGAAATCCAACGGTTTTTCCTATATAGTCCAAATAGCTGAATCCACCTTGTAAATGTATAAGCAAATGTAACTTCATAACGAGTATTCAACAATTTACAACATTAGCAATTGCATATAGTTAAGCTAATGACCAAAATTAGTTCAAAATAAAAAGGAAAATGTAAAGCAAAGAAAGTGTTTTCTTTTTTGTGCAGCTGCAACTCACTGTTAAACTCATAATGGTAATGTAAAGCTTACAGCAAGCTCAACTCCTGCCATTCTTAACAGTATTTTACTGCTTGCTGAGCCCAAGGTACAGCGACTGTTAATCGATTAATTCAAATAAAAAGAAAAAATCTTTGTTTTGATTTTTCTTAGTTTTTATTTAAATTATGTTGTATATGTAATAAGAGCTTAAAATACAAATTTAATTTCATTATCAAAATACATTGTTATACAATTTCCTTAGTTGCTTGTTTTTTTTTCTTACGTTTTGTTATAGATCTTTAGTTGCTTGTTTTTAATATTTCACTTAATCAATTATGTATTTAGTTTATCTTTTTGTTTACCGCATTTCTTGTTTTTTCATTTTTTTTTTTTTTTTTTTATTATTATTATTTTTCATTATTTCTTTATGTATATTTATAATATTAATTAATAGAAAATATACTAACAAAAAGAAGAGGTCGTTTTGGATATATCCATTTTGATATATATGCATATGTATATATGTTTGTATGTATGTATGTATATATATATATATATATAGATTCAAGTGCTTTATATACATCCATATAAAGTACTCATATAATACATAAAAAGAAAACGAAGGGAAATACAGTTACAATTTTATACTTTAGGTTTGCAATTAAAAATTATTGAAAATTGAGAGCCGCAAAAGAACAAATTCACACATATTTATAAAAAAAATATATATATATATAAAATAATATTAATAAAAAAAAAAAACAAACAGAAAAAATGTTTTTTACAATTGAACTACTATATTGAAAGCACTGTGCCCCGTGTCTGTGTATGCGTGCGTGTGTGTGTGTGTGTGTGTATATATGCATAGCTGTTTGGTGGGAACTAAAGGTACAGGGAGGGATCTAAATCACGGATATTCAATGAGGAAGTAGAAGAAGAAGACAAGGAGAGCATCTTGCTTGAACTCAATTATCCTTAAAGCAATGTTGTCCTTTCACAACAATTATAAAATGTACTAGGCAGATTAGGATATTAATGTATTTGTTGTCTTTTTTTTTTCTTTTCTTTTTCGTTATGGGTTCTTCAAATTTCGTTTAGTTTTATTCTTAATGCAGTGCTAATTACTGTTCTCAGTGTTGCAAAATACTTTACTGCTATGTTTCTCTCTCTCTCTCTTTCGGCTTAAATTGAAATATGTATTTCCATCGCAATTGTAATTGTGATTAGACACGCTTTCGTTAATTGTTTGTAAGAGATGAGAGATTGAACGATGGACAACTGTGAGAATTATCGATAGCTGCCCGGTTAGTACACATACATATATGCATCAATATATATATATTTCAATTTGATGTTCTATATCAAGTCACAGTTGCAGTTGCTGATGGGGGGGCTGGCGGAAGGTAAGGCGTTTGTGCAGGATTGGGCGGGAAGGCGGGGGAGAGATTTTAACTGATATTTTGTCACGTCTGTGACACGTTACATCCCAGTGACACGCAACAGATGCACGATTATATCTCTCCGCTGCACTACATGTGTATCGTGGCCGCCGTGTAGCGCGCCTCGCCGCGTCGCCATGACCACTGGCTGGGACGGAACTGTGTGAAAGAGAGGAGAGAACATCGATTAATAAAATATAGAGACAGATGGTAGAGACAAACTAGTTGGTTTAATGGCAAAGGTCAAGAGCTAAACGATTAGTTAACAAACCTGATGTAAATGCTTGGACTGCATGTAAATATACAGAAATCGCTTAGTTTGCAATTAATTAATTGGCCCATGGCTGATTGATCGACTCACCTGAATGAGCAGTTGACCGCTCCGTGTGTGCGGATTTCGGTACGCATAGAAGAGCCACAGCGTCACCGCGAACACCAGACAAATGGGCACCATAAAGCCAAGGGCCACGCCTACATTCTTATTCTCTGGCAGCACGGCGCCAAGATGTTCGCTCTTCTCGGCATTGACGCCATCGCCGGCCGCGCGGCCTGCAGTCGCTGAGGTGCCGCTTGACGGATGCTGCGTGCTGTTAATAGTTGGCTCTGTTGCCGGTGCGCTGCCTGCTGACCCATTGGCGTCGGGCGACCCGCTGGGTATGCTGCTGCTGTTGCTGTTGTTGTTGCTGCTATTGTTGCTGCTGCTGTTGTTGCTGTTGTTACTGCTGTTATTCTCTTGTTCAGCATTGTTGCCCTTTTGGCCGAGCGCCGGGCAAGCATCGCTGCTGCTAATCATCGAACGATCACAGCCTGCAAATGGATGTAATTAGGGCGAGTTTTTAGCAAATTATAGAAAATTGATCAATTATCGCTTTCGATATCGAATGGGTTATAGATAATAAATAATAGCCTAGTATATTTTCCACACTGTGCACTGATTGGCCAATTCATTCTTATCTTCTTTCTCGCTCTTTTTAGTATTATTTCCCCTTCTCTTACTAATTACTTTTTATAATAGCTCATAATATAATAACTACACTTAAAATCTTTCATAATTTATCAAAACTTTCAATATCAATCAACATCTATGACTGTGGGGATCATTTTTCTGTTCCCATTCAGGTTATACATTTAAATTGCTTATGTTATCGTTAACTTTTCTTTCATTCTTCTAGTCCATCTTCTTTCATAACTATATAAAAATGTCGTTAGCCTTAATACCCATTGTAATATAATGTTTGATAAATATTTTATGATACAACTATTGATAATCCTTAAGTAATTGACCTATTAAAAGTTCGATGAATGAACATGGCCTGATAAATATTTTGGAATACACATGATAAGGTTCAATAAATATCTCTAACACTCGTTAACCTTATTAGATATAATGATAGATACAAATTTGTCATACAAATATTTAGCATATTTAAGAATTTGAGTTATTAAGAACACTTTGATAAAAGTCAATTAAGATCTCTAAGCTACATTTGTAAACCTTTAGTAGTATAATGAGTGATAAACATTTTGTCAGGGACCATAGCGATTATAATTTTTATAGAAATAATTAAAAAAAATTAAATTTATGTCCTAATTTGTATTATCAAAATTGAATATAAAAATGATTTGATTTTTATATGAAAATTGATGTGATACAATTTTTTTTTTTTTTTTTTTTTTTACCACATAAATTTATTTTAGAAATAGAAAAAAATGTTTTAAAAAAACTTCAAATAAAAGTTTATCCCGTTCTTTAATTTGCCGTAAAAATAAATAACTTATCTCTGTTTTTCTCACTCATTTTGGTTTTTTTTTTCACTAAATTTTTTTTAAGATTCATAACAATTATTTGTCATAAACAAATTGAACAGCTTTAAAGCAAGTAAGATGGCTCTAGTCGAGACTGATCGACTAGGAGATACCCTGAATCCTCTAAGCTGATATTCCACTCATTCTGCACTTCTTTTATGCACACATGCATACACACGTACGTATAATCAATATTATGAGAATTTATTTGTTGAATAATTTCTTTGGTAGACGGACTATATTTTGAAACTTTCAGAGCATGATCATATAATTAAAATGTATGAATATTCCAAAGCATAAGTCTCTATTACTTGAAATGTGTTTTTTACAAATTGGGGGCGAAGGGGGCGTGGTATCCAAAATCTGTAAATTACAAAATCTTCGTATCGCTCAACTGTATATACATAGAAGAAGATACATAGTCTGAAGTCTCGACGTCTAAAAGTGTTCAAATTATTCTCGATAAAAAAGTTATCAAAAAATATGATAAACTTGTACTACGCATGGTACACATAAGTATGCATGCCAAATTTCAGCTCTCTAGCTCTTATAGCTTCTGAGATCGACGCACTCATACGGACCGACGGACGGACAGACGGACAGGGCTATATCGACTCAGCTCGTCGTGCTGATCAAGAATATATATACTTTGTGGGGTCTGCGATGATTTCTTCTGCCCGTTACATACTTTTGCACAAAACCATTATACCCTGATTTCCCATTTTCAATGGGTTTAGGGTATAAAATGCAGCGACATAAACATTCCCTGATTAGTAGCAAATATATTAATAAAAGTCGCTAAAATCCACTAAATAACATTCATAATATGAATTTCATATACAGTGAGCAAGTAATTGCCTATTCCCAAGCTGATTATGAACATAGAACAACCCAATCCAGTAAATACAAATCAAATCGTATTGGCTTCATTGAGATTAATATTAAGATTTACCCTTTTGCTGCCATTCCTGCTTTCTGCGATCGTTGCCAGTGCTTGTGGAGCAACGGTTCAGCGTGGGGCACCAAACGCACTGCGGGAATGGAACGAATCAAGGATTAGTTTCAAATTCAGAATGAAAGCCATATTGGCGCAGCTCACCTCAAATGTGGTATTGTGATTAATGCACCCCTGACAGTCGGAGTAGCCGAGACATGTGGGCAGGGCAGTGAGGACGACAATTGTCGAATTCCTGATTTCCTGCTGGCTAAATGTGACGCGATGATATTCATAGATGGTCTTGCGGCGAGCAACTGGATTAGGGGTAGGCAAAATACGAATTAGTTTGCGGTGAAGCCATATAACTTATGTGCAACACATACAGAAGAGCATCTTGTCCACGATATAGGCATCCGAGAGTCCGACCTTGACCGGATGCTGATTATCCTGTATGTTGTTGATCTGCATGGGCAGCTGATAATAGACGAACACAATGTCTCCAGTCTTATGCAGCGTGGCACTGAACGTGAATTTGCCATAATTGGGCTTATCCTGTAGCGTGACATTCTCCCAGACGACGGTGAAGGCGGTGCCTGGCAGGAGTAACATCAGATGTAATCAGTGAGAAATATGCAAGACTAGATATTCTATGCAAGGACTCACCATTGTCCAGTAGCCGCACAAACGAATCGTTCGACATGCTCGTATCAAAGTTGGCCATCAGCGGTGCTATATATTGAGTAGCCGCCAGCCAGGAGTGGACGTACTCTCCGGTGTAGAGGAAGCCGCCGGTGGCCACGGTTATGTTGCGCACATAGTGACCGTAGAAGGGGAACGCGAACTTCAGTTCGACGGTCATGGCTCGGCGATGCGAGGAGGACAGCATACTGTTCTCTGGTATGTTGCGATACTGTGACCAGATCTCATCAGTCTCGCTCTTGTTCTCGTAGAGCAGGCTGCGATAGTAGTCGTAGTGATCCTCGTACCGGGTCAGCTGGGATTTGTTGGCCTCCTTGGTGATGACCTCGTCGGACACATCGACATCGTCGATCAGCGCACGATCTGTGGTGGTTGTTGTCGTTGCCTGCGCGGCTTGGGATGCCACCTTCTTGGGATATTGCATTGGCTGCGATGCCATCAGCTGCGTTTTCTTTGGCGGCGCACTGGGCACAGCAGCCGACACATTGATGCTGGCGGTGCCATTGGTGCTGTTGGCAATATCGCCGCTGCTGCTGCTGCTGAGGTCCTTGCGCTGCCCAGTGCCATTGACGCCCACGTTGTGCACGTTGTAGGTAACGCTGCCCGTTGCAGCGGCCTTGCTGTCCACGGTGGTGACCGTTGTGGCTCCGTCTGCTGCTGCTGCGACACTTCCGCTCGCGTTCACATTGGCGCTCACGCTCTGATACTGATGCTTGACATCCATTGTCGGTCCCAGAACGGGCGGCGAGTCCGCCGTGCCCGTTGGTGCAGCACGGCGCCGCCGCAGCAGCTCATCCCCAGCGTGACTCTGCTGCACTGCATCCGACAACCTGACTATCTTCTCTGGGTTAATGTATGCGAGTTTGGTGTCGAGCGCAACGTAGGTATCGGGCGCTGCAACCGATAAAGAGAGAGAGGGAGAGAGAGCGAGAGAAGAGACGATTGGATAAGTTCAGATAGCTAAATAAGGCATATATCTATATTACGATTATATCCACGCTTACAATTTCATATTTCTTATCTGTTAATTGAGCAAAAATAAAGTCATTTAATTTTTATTTTCCAAAAATAACTTTTTCGCGTGATAAGAACGGCTTTATGAGTACCGTAAATTTATTTTTAATACCCACTAAAAATTTCAGTGCACTGAAAGTGCAAATGCAAAAAAAAAAAAAGATATATATATATATATATATATATATATATATATATATATATATATATATATATATATATATATATATATATATATATAGAAAACTAAACAATTCTGCAAATTTACAAATATTTTGGCATAAACATCACGATTCATAGGTAATATATAGTTAATTGAAAATGAGAATTATTTTCAGGGATTTTTTGTTTGTTTTGGTTCCTGAAAAAACCATGAAAAATATTAATGTAAACATGAACGGGAAATTTCCAGTTCCATTATCATTTTGTAGCCATATATATATAGGTTATATTATAGTTTGATGGGGTGATCAGACAATGCTAATACTATGGCGGATATTTATATTATAATAATATATATATTAAATTCCACAAGATTTGCAATCTGATGAACTTATGGAAATTTTTTTAAGAAACTGTATTTTAAAATGAAAATTTGATGGTGTGGTGAGCTCATGAATAACTTCGTATGTATATATAGATGTATATATTATATTTCATATTATAGGATGATCAGACTAGGCCCAAGAATTATATTATATTATAAGATTTGCATGCTAATGATGAACTCATAAAAATAGTTTAGGGAATTTTTTTTTTTTTTTACAGATTTGGTGATTCGCTCATGAATTGGTCTGCGCGATCGTGTACGATTTGACGCTCCTCGATCTGCGTTAAGTCTCAGCGCACATAAGCCCAACTGTTTGAATGAGTTGGAGGTCAACAATCGAGACACGATATGGCACTGAGTCATCCAAAATTGCAGCTTACGCTAGATGCTCTCTCTCTCTCTCTGTCAGCGAAGCGTAGGTGGGTCATTTGAATACGTAATGCCATACGGATCGAGCTTCACAATAGACGCACAGATAGTATAATAATATCTCATTTAATTGGATTTTCTCTTCAGCTATTGCTTTCATTTAGGCACTCTACCTACATTTTAATCAGTTCTGTTTTTGGTTGTCATGTGAATACCATAAAAAATGCAAGTTCCGTTTATTCATATCTATATAACTGACAAAAGCTGGCTTTTTTATATACACAAGAATATATTTTCTTGATTCGGCACAACATTCAAGTTGATTAGCTCTATTTCTCTGCTGATCTTTAACTTCATCTTTTGTTACGTGATCTAGTTTGTTTTATATAATCGAGATTTTTTCCATTCAAACCGATTAAAAATGTTATCGATCTTTAGATTTGATAATATATATATATATATCATAATATCATATCTTTGACATTTTTAGCATATTTTACAATCAGTTTGATTTGATAATTTATATTTTCATTTTAGATGATAGTAGATTCAACTATATCATAAGATCATTTAAATGTGATATCATGCTGAGGAGTTTTCATATAACGAGTGTTATTTCAGAGCTTCACAGCTTTGAGCTGCGATTGCTGAATTGGGTCTAAAATTCCATTTGTGGATAAACTTACGCCAGAGCAACGTTTGCAAATTGTTGAAATGAAACACAAATTGATATTGATTTTCAATTTTCGTTCTTCGATGAAGCCCACTTTTAATTGAAAAAGTAGATCATAGGCTGAACATTTCAGCTGTTGAGGAAAACGTGTCAAACTCAAGTGGTTATTGACGCCAAGCGCTTCTCTATGCACGTGCCCATATAGAGAAACACTTGGTTTCTTGAGACGTAATATACATACTTTTGGCATTCTCTAAATTGAATTTCAATTTGTCACTCTACAAACAATTATTGAAACTGAAACTTAATGTAAGCTGAGCGGACTCAAATTCGAATTTTCTGTATTCCCGACTACAGTCTCACTTGTTTAGCCTTGTAATGTAAGACTTGAAATATTTTACTTTAATATTTACCTCTTCTTGCTTTTCTCTCAAGCTGAAAATGAAATTTGAAATAAATCTAATCATAACTCGTAAATGTTTAGCATAAAGTTACGACAAAGTTAAGAAAGCTTTGGTAACTTGGAACTTTTGTAGGTTTTTCTAGTAAAAATATGTAAGATTTTACATAACGTCTAGCAATACCAATGATATATGTACTTTTCGTTTTTATGCTAATTCAAGCATTCACAATTGATGAAAAATTCATTCGGCAAATGAATAAGGAAAGTATTTTGCATAGCAGTTCATAGATATTTTCGAAGTGACATCAATCAATCAATCGAAGGACAAATCATAAGCGAAATACTCTTGATATAGAAAATCTGTTCAGTTGTATCTAACCTTCAATTCGAAGACTCTTAAATTATATGGTTCGTCACTTAGAATAGAATCTATATATCTCCCTCTCTCTTCCCTCTCTCTCTCCCTCATTCTCTGGCTCTCTCAGATAACATTTATTTGGCATAGTAAACGAGTATTCTACACTCGATGGTGTCCGACTGCAACATTCCTACCTATTTTTGCTCTTTGTTCTTTCCTTTTGTTATCAAAATGAAATTGAACCGGTTCTGATATAATAATCAAGGAAGTTCCACATAAACATTCTACCTATAACATTAGAGCGACAAAAGTGCAATATATTTATATTATCGGAGTGCCACGAAGAATCCTATGTAAATTAATATATACTATAAATGCATAATGGTTTCTTTCAAGTTTTATAGATAGAGCCGTTAGGATCTTTATTTAAAACTTTATATTAAACTTTTGAGATGCTTTCTCCTAATAGAAGCTAAAATAATTCTACATTTCATCTGTCAAGCTTTGGGTATTTATGAAGCGAAATAACTATAACTTGATATAGGTATTTCTCCAGAAAAGTTTTGTCGCCTGCGAACCAATGCCAAAAAGCTTTTTTATTTTGATAAAAGTAGCGCATTTTCTAGATCTATCTATCTAGCACTATAATTGGTAATTAAAACAAAAAAGGAAAAGCCCAGGAGGGGGTATTTTTCTGGACATATGCCCATATATAAAAACAGACTCTTGAAAAACCAATTATAATATTTTTGCGTCATTGAAAAAACAAAAACATATTTTCAGTGGGTTTGCTGGATATGGCTTATCAGATTTTCCGAAACTTTATATTTAACACTGAGTGAGCGAAATGAGCTGAAATTGGATATACATACATATGTATGCAAACTGTTGCTGTTGTTGTTCTGTTATTTTGAATGTTTTTGTCAAGTTAAATACATTTTCGGTTTTATAGCTTTGCATACGAGAACTCGTTTGACACCGGTTCAAAAGTGCTGCGATGTCAAATTTGTTAATTTGCTGGTGCATACACACACACACACACATACACGAACAGCTGAGGTTAGTCGCATAGAAGCACTCGCTTAAGCGACGAAAAGAGTGCACAAAGTGTAGCTAATTCAATGGACAGCGCTGTAATTATTTACCGGCGACGACTGAACGTGGCGAAGGGCTGATTGAAAGTGTAACAGCTCAATGACTCGTAATTTGAATGCATGTTTTTTGTTTTATTCACCCACCCCCTCCCTCTGACTCACCCTTCTCTCGTATCACTCGCTTACACACGACAAACCTCTTTTATTATTTATAAAACGGCATTTCCATAAATTGAGCAATTTCACGTTTTTTTTTTTTTTTTTTTTTTTTTTTTTTTTGTGGGTTTTCCAACACTGTTTAACCGCATTTTCCGCCTATTTCTGCTTGAGCTGTAATTACTTATGAACTGTTACTCGACGCCGCCCGCTGAATATCGATTTTCTATTTTCATTACATTACATTCTTGTTTTTCTATTTTATTTCTTCGGTTTTGTCTAGGTATTTCTACGCTAACGACTCTTCGCCCACCGTTACGCCCCCTAGTTATGTCGACCAACCACCAGCACCGCCACAACACATTCTTCAGGCGTCGCCGGGCCTAGCAATACAAATAACTCGAACTGTACGCGCTCCAGTGCTCCAGTAGAGTCTGCTCGACTAAGAGATACCCTGTAAACCCTGCAACAAGCTGGCAACTGGATTGCCATTTATTCTATATCATGCGAATATATTTCTGAATTACCTTTTTTTCTCGATGGACTTTCGTATTTCAGTTCTAATTACTACGTCTTACAGAGTACAAACCATGTTCACAAACAATGTACAAATATCGATTTTTATCGATAATGAAATGAGATGAGTACCGAAAAAATATGTTAAAAACAAAACTTATATATGCTTAAAATATATCAATTACAAAACCATTATACCCGTATTTCACATTTTGAATGGGTGTAATGACTATATATAAATATGTATGTACATATTTATATTGTTTATTTTTTTTATACTAAGTTCATGTCAAAGGGCATAGCCTCAATCATCGCATTTTCATCTCTTAATGATTTTGTGTGCAGCTTTGCATTATTTATTTAAACTTGCGGTCAGCGGTGAAATTATAAATAAATTATGTCAATTAAAATTATAATATATAAATAAATAAAAGCAAATAAATATAGAAATCAAAATATAAAATATATATATGTATATGTACATATATGTATGTACATAAAAACAGAATTGTAAAAAATAAATAAATTTGAGAATAAACTTTTATAAAATAATAGCCACACAACCACAAACATATTCTCTCTCTCTCTCTCTCTCACACGCACACACACAAGCCCAAATCCCCATTGTCATATCTGCAGTTTCACATTTCAAAATGGCAAAAACTTTGCGCTTTTTTGTTTATTTAAGAAATTGCCGTTATTTTTTATGGCAAAGATTCGCGTTTAACCAAGTAATAATGCAACGTTGCAGATACAAGCGCACAGCAAACAATCGCGATCACTTTGCCAACGCCGCATGAGTAAGTGACAATTGCAACAAAATCGTATGCAATTGCCTTGCATTCGAGCAAATCGAGTTTTAGCTAATTACAGCTTATTTTGCATAGTAACTCAAAAATGACGTAAAGAGAGAGCGAGAGGGAGGCAGACAACACTTAAGTAGAGTGAGGCAACGCAAAGTAAAGAAAGAGAGTAGTGTACACAGATACATAGATGTACATATACACACGCACAGTCACACATGAACACACACACATACACACATCATTCAGCACCGCGCACGTCATTGCAAGTTGCAACGCTTGTTTCCCATTTCCCCATTGCCTTGCATAATTATCGACTCCGGTCACACTGAGTCACACACACACCTGCAATTGCCAACTCGCTCGCACCCGCTGCGCTTAGCAGCGAGCCTCTCTTGAAGAGCATAATTCAATTCAATTGAACCCGGTGTTAATTGTTATGTTAATGGCTGATATTGTTATTGCGGTGGTGGCAGCTCGCGCGGCTGCTGCTGTTCTTAAATAATTGGCGCAAATTTACGCATCATTTGATTGAAAAATGAAAGTAATTCTTCCCATTCGTTCTTTATGTTTTTCTTATTTATTTTATTTTTTCTTCATTTTTATTTATCTACTTTTTTTTTTTTTGCTGGCTGCTGTGTTAACGACCTTATGGCGCATCCATAGCAACTGTGCGTGTGACCTAGTTTTTATTTTCTTTTTTTTATTTTTTATAAATTTCTTTTGCTTTGGTAAGCAAATGCGACTGCAAAATGCTATTTCTTGTTCGAGGTGCACGGACAGAGAGATAGAAAGAGAGAGAGCGAGCAAGAGAGAGGAAGAGATAGAGCTGACTAATAATTTATTTGACAGGCATTTTGCGTAGTATGACTGCTGATAATTCATTCTCTCTTATCTGAAGACAAGCTTTTCAACTATCGCAAAGCATTTGTTTTCTTTGCGCAGACGAAAACAACAACAACAACCACTGCAATTGTATAGTTGACGTTCTTTGTTGGGCTTTTAGCGCCGTTAACCGGACATGCTTAACGGTTGGTTAAATCAATAGAGACAAACAAAAGAAAACCACACGAAAACGCAACGGCTAAAGGCAAAGCGAAGAGTTGCCAGAGTGTCTAAAATGCATTGGTCACAAACAAAACCAGAGAGAGAGCGCGCACGAGAGAGTGGAATGGGCAAGTAAAAGACATTTCGAAGAGTAAGGTGGGAGCTTTGTCAATGCATCCATATGTTTAATGTTGATGATGTGCGAACGTCAACGGCTCTGCTTCCTGTTCACACAGCGCCTGTCTGTGTGTGTGAGAGAGAGACAGCTGCGCTGTGTGGGCGCCCATACGTACAATGGGCACAACTATTTTCGGTCAACGTAAGCCGTTAGCCGAGCGCAAAGGGAGCGGGGCATGGCGATTATGCAGTACAAATGCATCGAGATGCATTTGAAGATTTGATTTATAAGACTTGTCTGTGTGTGTGTGTTTGTGTTCCAATTGGAATTAGCTGTAGCGCATGCAATCCCAATTGGATGCTACACAACTGTTCGTGCTTTATCGCATTCCTGATTACCTTACGATCGAAAGTAGATTAAATGCCAACTGTAAAATTGCTAAATGTACATTTTTAAGTGTTTTCCGTGCGAAAATCAGCATACTTGGCATTTACTAACAAAGCACCTTAACCCACCGGCCATTAATTACATACATGCCCACAATTGTTGGCCTCCTCCGTTTACATCTACGAAAATTAGCTGAGATCTATCAAGAGTTGCACCTTTTATGGTAAATGTATATACGTACAGCTGTGGTCATCAAAATAGTAGTGTGTTTGATCACCAGATATTGGAGCAAAAAAACTTATCAATATCAAAATTAATAACTAAATAAACAGCATGTGTTAATCTTAATATTCGTTTAAAATTGCTTAACGAAATATTGAGACAACCAGCTCAGTTTTTGGATCCGAAGCTGATCGAAAACAAATGTTAAGAGAGTTGCGGCAACAGCGAAGCCATCGACCAAAGCACAACTGTGGCAAGTAGTTCAGAAGGCGTGGCATCCAATTTCATTTGAAACGGTAATATTGCCTCGTTGATTCCATGCAACACAAATGTCGTGCCATAATAAAAAATTATGGAACATAATGCATTCATTTCGCTTTTAATTTTATTTCCCATATTTTAGTTGACATTAATATTTTTATGAATTATATATTAAATCCTAATGAATTTGCTTCCACAAGCAGGTTACTCAATTTGTCAGAATAACATTCAGTCGCTCTATTATTTTTATTTTATTGTCTATAAACTAATGGCAAGTTACCTGCTAATAACATAACAGATACTGCCTGTAATGTCAACATGTTAATCGACAATTACAGATCTCTGCAATGCAAAACAAGTGCATGCATGTGCACGTATGTATATGTAAGTATGTGTACATGTCCGTGTATTAATGAGCAGTCAAATCTCATTCAAACTACCGTAAATTCATACATATTTTTATATGAATGTTTGTCTGTATGCGTGCATGCATGTAATTATCACCACAGCAGCAAAGACAACAACAATAACATCGCTCATGATAAGCGCTCTCCGCTGTGCCAGTCAGTGACTGTCCCCTGGGACATGAGTCAAGTGCAGTTGAAATCAAAGATCGATTAACTATAAGCTACTGCTTTTACTGGCTACTAGTAGACACTACTGTCAGTAGTGTGGCTTAATTGATTTCTAGTAACTGCATAGGCAACTACAACAAAAACAACAGCCACTACAACAGCGGCAATAACAATTTAGAGTAATTATAGAAACACACACACACAGAATGGCAAAGTTTACAGCACAAAGCAAATGCTAGAAACAGATAAAGTGGGTGGTAAATAAACGTCGGGTGCCAGACAAAGAAATGCTCAATCGCAACTGTATCAACAAATACGCACATACAAATGTATAAATATATATATGAATGTATTTCACCATATCTGCATGTGCGTGTGTGCGCCCACCTATGTATGCATGTGTGTGAAGTGCGTGTGCAGTTAGTAGAAACAAGTAAATGAACTGCGACGACATTAAATGCTCTGGCAACGCTCTCCGCTGCGGCTAGTAAACAGCCACACATACCCATGTATGAATGGACATATGCATGTGTGTGTGTATGTGTAGCATATTACATTATTGGCTAATTACACAACACTATCTTATGCTTGAGAGAGCCAGTGTTGCCGAATCAGCTATTTTGTAGCTAGATCTGGCTACTTTTTAAGGCCAATTGCTACAAAAATTTTCAAACAGCTATTAGCTACAAATCTGGCTATTTTCAAATATTAAATTTAGCTAAAATGCAAGCGAACTTATAACAAAATTCGCTTCGATACTTTTTAAATGTAAATGATTTAAATGTACTGAGCTTTGTGTAGAATTAATACTACAACTGAAGAATAGGTAAGCTTTCTAATATGCTATGCAAAATTCATTTCTTATCAGTTTTTATACCCTGACCCATTGACGCCATCATTTTGTAAAAAACGCATTTCAAGTACTAGAGACTTGTGGTTTGGAATGTACACACATTTTAGCCATATGATCACGTTTTGAAAGTTTCATTAAGATTGTATGTCCACAAAACATATGGATTACGCCGATATGGCAAATGTTGCTATGAGTATAGCGTTCCACCCAACTACCTTGAAAAGGAAAATTATAAAAAAGACAATGGTGAAAATGACGAGCTGGTGGTCATAGATGAGATATTATCAGAATTAAATTAATAAAGTTGACTTTTGTTGAAAAAACAGCACTGTTTTCTTTTTTGCTACTTTTTCAGCTATTTTAGAAGAAAGTTGGCTACTTCTAGCTACTTTCAACCTTCGGTTTTGCTACTTTTGCTGAAAAAGTTTCGGCAACACTGGAGAGAGCGGCAATAAAGAGAAAAAGAGCTGGAGAGCGAGAGAGCGAGAGAGCAGGTAACGGCACTTTAAGCCAGCAGCTGCTGCTGGCAAGGTTGCCACCTGTTTTGTTCTTTGATCTATTTCTATTTAAATTGCAAATTGCGTCGCCGACATCGTTGGACGACAGCAGCAAGAACAACAACAATAACCAAAAACAAGAAGCCACACACATTCGTCTTTTCTTTGCGCCTTGATAAAAATGCGCCACAAATTTCAATTGTGATATGCAACGATGAGATGTCGCTCGCTCTCTACAATTGCGTGAAGGGGTCGGCAATCGGTCTATGGAAATTGTTGCACGTTAAGTGGAGCATGGAGCACATAAGCGTAGCGCACGAAACAAAAAAAATATTGTTAAAAATAAAGTAAACGTGGGTAGTTTATTAAAGGTAGAGCGAGAGGGACAGGCAGAGGCAGGCGACAGGACGTTCGCTTCTTAGTAATGCTGCCTATTTTCACACTCGGCTGAGCCACACTTGCACACACACACACACACACACGCACGCACGTAAGACTCAGCGCTACGTACACTTGATTTTTTGTTGTTGTCAATTAACGCATTTACTGCCAGGCAGCAGATATAACAACTACAATAAAAATACAAATTCGTTTTAACAGCAACAAAGACACAAACAAAAAAACAGAAAAAAAAACATGGCAGCAAAAATTTCACCATACAAAAAAAGTACCAACTGGCAGCAGAGCGCACTCTGACTCCCTCTGTCCCATACCCCCCCACATTGACTCTCCACGACCAATCTTTGCGTTTTGCTTCTTCGACGTCGTCATCATCAACATCATCATCACCAGCACTATAATCGCAGCCTAATGATGATGATCTGTCATATGTGCACACATATGTATATGCGTATTTGAATATTAAAGGTTTCGAGAATATTCAGATGTGTTTTGATTTCACTTACATATTGATTTCACACATTGTATTGATCCGTATATAGTTAATAAAATTGCGATTTGCGCGTACGCACGACCGACAGTTTTCGCCATTTTTCTTGTCCAACCCGCACGATGAAACGTACACGTCCGTAGCCACTGAACAATAAAATATTAGTGGCGAACAAAAGAAACCGCTTCGACTTGTATTTACATTTTTAGGGTCGTGCAGCTTGGTCACACCGTTTTCTCCTAATTCCAGCGACAATAATATGGTATTTTCTCAATTCACAGTATATAATAGTATTTTTAAGATAGTTTCTTATATGCAACTCTGATTTTCATATGAGTTAATATTTTGTTACTGTTTAAAAAGGTTGATAGATTGCCCATTAATTCACAAATTATATTCCTTTGATTTGGATCAGTTAATTTGATATCCAAGAAATGTTAAGGGAAACATGTTTAAGGTACTCGAATTAGTTAGATAGTATTAGCACACATATAAGTTCGATAAATGGTAATGTTTATTTAATAAATCAAGATCTTAGCAGGAAACAGAAAACGTTTAATTTTGTTCTTGGTTATGTTGAGTTATTTTTAGAAAATATCGATTTTTTGAATGCTCTTGAATTTAAAGAGCACAAGAATTATATATTATTTATTATATTAAATAAGACATTCTGAATATTATTTTAATTTAAATGCATTTAATCAATTATAATTTGTTGTTAGATTATTCGATGTTTAAGTATCGCAAATAGCGATATATCGCTGTTATGGTACCTATGAAATATAACAGACAACTGTGCCGAATAACAGCCAGTCATAACATTGCTGACAACTGTCACTCTGCTGTTATTGTTCAATCTAACTGGGTCAGTTTAACGTCGCTGCTGTTTGTATTTTTCTAAATTTATGTATTTTTTTCCAAACATATATTATTCGAGCGTACAAATAAAAGTGTTTATGTTTGAAATCTTGAAATAATATTGTCACTGTAAACAGTGTATGTGAAGCGTATTTTGAAAATACAGTACGAACTGCAAGTGAATTTGCCGCTGACGCCTTTGCCGGCAAATGCACCACACTCAAAACGCGCGTGTGTGTGGGTATGTTTGTGTGAATGTGTGTGTGTAGCAGTAGCAACGTGCGCAAGATTAGATCACTCTTGTTGCAAGTCTCGCTGTTGTTATTGTTATTGTTGTTTGAATGCGAGACATGAGTTCAATTAGCTATGACAATTGGAGATTCTTTGAATTGCATAATCAATGAATGCTTTGGTCATTGCGTGTGCGTGTGAAATGCGTCTGCAGCAGCTTCGACGGCTGCGGCTGCTGTTGACTGCGCGCGCGTCATCTCTGCGTGTTTGTTTGTGTGTGTGTGTGTGTGCGAGAGCAAATGCGTGTGTGTGTTTATGTGGGCGTCTCTCGTTGAGTGAACGAAAGTGACACAAAAACTTATAAATAAGTGCTCCAAGTATATTTATTGCTTAAAAACGAAAAAGAGTCGATCAATCGCATGAATTTGTAATTGTTGCTGTTGTTCTCATTGTTGTTATTTATTTATTTTTTGTTTGTGCGCGCGCGCAACTCGAGTCAATTATTGTTGGTCAACAATGTGCGGGCCAAGCAATTTGTTGCCGTTTTATATATGAGTATGTGTGCGTACGTGTGTGTGTGTGCTAATTGTTTATTTGGGCAATGCAAAGCGCTTGACCTACATTTTGATACCATTGCTATCAAATTCTTGCCATGCATGCGCAAGACAGAGAGAAAAGCAGCAAGAGAGAGAATTACTTTTGTTTTTATGTGCGCTCACTCGCACACATGCATGCGCACAGCATGCAGTGTATTGCATTGTATTTGTATTGTATTTTTGCATACAATGACAAATGTCAATTAGCATTTGAATTTTGTACTTTGTGGAGAGAATCAATGCCTATGTTACTTAACATCCACAGAGAGAAAGAGAGCATAACAGTGCACGTTAACAGTTTGTTGACAGCATGCGCGCGCTCTTCATGATAAAAATGTCATGCATGTGAAAAATGTGATAAATCCAAAAAAAAAAAAAAAAAAAAAAGCAAGTGGCAATAAACTAATAAACCCAAAGTGCTAAATAAGATTGTAAAATTGTAAGACAGAGAGAGAGAGAGTAAGAGAAATACATAGGGAGAGAATACATGTATATATAAATAATTATATATTTATGCTCAGCATTGGCAAATGTATTTGTAAATTGTACATAAAAAATATGAAAAGCAGCAGCAACAAGCTAGGGTCGCCGCTGATAGTGATAATTGCTTGATAATGAGCATATGGATGAGTTCCGCTTTGTTGCTTGATAAGCAGACGCGACCAGACAACGGGACAGTGCACCGTACGCTGCACGTTACACGCTCCACACGTTCCACACTCGCAAACAGACACACACATACGATCCACACAATTATATTGTATATAGTATATAGAGTATTTGTTGGTCAATCAGCGTCTCTGACTAGCGTAATCTTCTTGTCTGCTCCAACTATAGCTGCAAAAATGAAATTGTGTAACATCTAAAGGCGAAACGCAAACGAAATCCCGAATCAATTTGACAGAGCATCCACCGTCCAGGCAACAGGTTGTGAACCACACACCCACCCACACACACACACACACACACGGGTACACTCTAAGCTACTTCTGGAACACAACCAAGCGGAGCAGCAGCAGCAGAAGGAGCAGCAGCAGCAGCGAAAGCAGCGGCAGCTACAATGCACCAGCGTCGCAACAGCCTGTGCCAGCCGCTGCTCAGCAACGGCGGCTGCAAGGATGCAGCTCCAGCTTCGGCGTCAGTTCCGGCGGCAGCAGAGGTTTCTGCTGCCACTCCAGCAACAGCATCCGCTGAATCCGTGGATGTGGCCGCCGCAGTGGGTGCCTCAGCGCCGATGCCACTGCGATGCGGCTGCTACTTCTCGCTGGCCTGTTCCATTGGCTCGATGAGCCTTGCCTGCGGCAGCCTGTGGCAAATCCCGAACACCACCGACCGGATCACGCTACAGCGTGGCCTCTTCCTCACCTCGCTCGGTTTCATCTACTTCATCTCGCTGACCGACTTCTGCAACAAGTATCTGCTGGAGACAAAGCGTGGACAGCAATTCCGCAACAAATATCGCCTAATGATATCCGATGTCCTCGAAATAACCAACAAGTAAGTCCAGCTATACACATATATACTTCAAAATTTCTAAACTATATTTGAACTATATTGTATTCATATATATATATATATATATATATATATATTTCATATATACAGGACAATAGTATTGCTGATTGCAATAATAAATAACCAAAGACCATTCATAAATTTATTAATGACTTTTGAGGAAACCTTGAATAGAAATCTAATTAACCCTAGTCGAATTTCATATATATATATTATTAATTACTATAGGGTTTTCAACAAATTGAATGAATTAGAAAAGTTGATGTGTTTTAGTCGTTCGTAAAAATAGTAGTAGTACAAATAGGGGGGAAAAAAACTAATCTGATTCTGACAATATATGAACATGTTTTTTGTTCTAATACTAAATTGTGAATCGATTATATTTTATTACGGTTCGGCATGTGTGGGGCGTAAAATCGATGAGGTAATGGATCCGCAGCCCTCCTAACATCGTCCCATGGGGTGTATATACATATATATGTATATATGTACATAAGTATATTCATTCAATGAAACAAAAATCTCAATTTACTTTCGCTACCTTCTCGTGTTCTTTATTACTAGACAAATAGTTAATGAACTGGATTGGCGATTATTATTATTAATATTATTTAAAGAAAGACATCAGTTTTGATTGAGAATTATATATGTATGTGCGAGTTACAGTGCACGCTGCCTATAACGCACACTGAGACTTTACAACTGAAGAAAATGGAACGTTTTCTGTTCTTCCTTAAAAAAAAAAATATTCTTTTCCACTATTGAGCTTTATTATGTCATAATTCTGATATCTTCTTCATTCTGATATCTTAACATATATATATCTTTATATATATCTTTATTTTGTATTTGTCTTGATATCTTTATATCTTCCTTGGCCCGTGGGTCAAAGTCAAAGTTTTCAATTGAACTTGACCTCAATTCTGGCGTTCAATCCCAATTGAAATTGTTTGCATGTGCTTTTTTTTTTTTTGGTTGTGTGCAAATTCATTCAGATGAAACAGCAACGGGTCATGGTCAGAAAAAAACAAACAGTGAGGAACAAAGAGTGAGGCGCAGAAGAGGAATAGAGAGTGAGAAAGAGAATAAGGAGAGCAATGTTGAGTTAGAGTCAATAGTCCTTGGCCTTCATTGAACTAACCTAAGTCAGAGAGTAATTATATATGTGATATATAAATGGGAAATATATATAGTATATATTTTATTTATCTATTGTATTACATTTATTCTATCTGTTTATATATAAATACCCACATACATAGCTTGACTATGTCCAAAAGGAACTCAATCTCTAAGCACAGCTTTACTTACTAACTATATATATATGTATATATGTATATATATATGTATGTATATATATATATATACATATGTTTTATTAAACAATGACAATGATGCTTCTCTATTATAGCACTTAGCCTTTATTTGAGATTTCCGTTTTAGGAAAACATTAAATGGAACCTCAGTTAGGAAAAATAGCATTCGCAAAAGTTTTGCAATCCTCTAAAAATCTCCAAAAACAATCGCAATTCTTTTGTGACTTTACAGCTTTTGATTGCCAATTAAAGCTCTGAGTATTTTAATTAAACTCAACTCGATTATTCACTTTATTTATTTTTATTTTCTTTTTTGAAATCTTACTCGTCTCTCGTCATATATTCAAATGTTGTTTCATGACTTTCAATTGAAAGCTAATTATGTACAGTGCGGCGCATTTGAATAGGTTGGACTTTGATAGGTTTTGTTGGTTAAAAAAAGTTATATCTCATCAACGAATACCCCGATTTACATGAAATAAATTTTGTTTCATAAAACAAGTCACCAAGAGTTTTCTATTAATTTTTTTATTTTTTATTTGACTACCTGGGATTTTTCTACATGGGATTTTTCTTGGTTTCACCTGCCGAGTAGCGAAAAGTGGTTTCAGTTCGTAGAATACAGCGCTGCTTTGATCTTGTTATTGCATATTTGTTCCGCCTTTCATATTTCTTCAATTATTTTCGTCATTACGAAAGAAATGCATTAAAATATTTAGACTGTAGCCAATCCTGTTATTGGGTTCTTCTTGGTATTTTTGCTCCAATTTGAATATAGCTTTGTATTTTGCCGTTTTAAAACTCGCTAAATCGATTTTCACGAGTTACCTTTATAATATAATTGTAATTTATAATTATAATAAACTTATAATAATAACAGTAATTGGTTAAAATAAAAAATGAATGTTCTTGAGAAGCTCAATGTTATTCAAGTAAACAAAAAAAAAAAAAAAAAAAAAATAGCAAAAACAAATGACATATTTTTGATAAACTAAAAGAATTAAATTATACGTAATATAATATTCAATGAAAGATTATGGAGCTGAAACTTTTCTTCCTCGTAATGTATATATAAAACAAAATTTCTTTCACTCATTTTGTAATTATCAAAAAAGTCCAACTTGTTACTAACATGCTCAATTTCGGTTTGTTCTTGTTGTTCATTGTTTAAGAAGAAGAACAAGAAATGGAGAACAAATAAACATTTCAATGAAGAGAAACAGCAGCTAGGAATGTGGTGAACAAAAATAGAAACAATCAAATTCATCGAATTCGCATTGCCATCGTCAATTGGCGCGTCCATTCAAACTGGTTCCGCTGCACCCCGCCCACAGCCTCCCCCGCCCCGTTCGCTGCTCTCGACTGTCGTTGAGAGTGTTAATTAAACTGTGTGTAGAATTGTTTAGCTTATTTTGAATGGACTCAGTGCATGCGTCTCTCTCACACCAGCCACCCTCCCTCTCTCTCTCTCTCTCTCTCTCTCTCTATCCCTCACTCTCTGCGTCTCTATCTGTAGAGTCAAGCTCGAGTTGCCCCCCAGCGATTACATCGTGCACGTTTGACGGTCACAGTTGCTTGGGTATGGGCCAAGGGGGGGTGTGTGGGAGGTGGTGTGAGGGGTGCATTCGGAGGTGGGATCAACAAAATAAAATGTGTTATAAAAACGGCGACTCATGTGACTGCATCACAAAATTGAGCAGAGTGCGGTCGACTAATAAATGAGATGGTATTGAAATTGTTATACGGTCACAGCCAATTACTGTTATACAATATAAATTATAACAGTATGACACTTAGTGAAAAAAATAAATTGAAACTCAACAGCTGACAGCTGCTTCTGTGACGTTTTTACACTGTTATACATGTTATACTGCTTTCCGAATTGTTATACAGTCAGTCTAAAGCAGGTCAGCTGCTCTATAGCTCCTATAGTTCAACTAAAAGTGTTTTTCTTATAAGTGTTATACTATCTGATAACCTTTACATCGTTCGCTAGTGTTATAAAAATGTTATACTAATCTATATACCTGCTATAAGGTTTATCTAAAACTTGTTCTTTGTATACAAAATTAAGATATACAACTGTAATTGCACTATTGCTAAAACTGTTATATTCAAATACCCAACTATTGTATTTAACCTTTGTTGACTTCAATGTGTGCAAAGTGTCATACCGATCGATCGATCGATCGATCAATGACGTTAGACTAATAACTGTATTGCCCACTTAGCAATCAATTTTAATATCTATCAGAAGAGCTTACCCCTGCACAAGTATAACACTTGTAGGTGTGCGAGTATCTATCTGTGTGTGTGTGTGTGTGTGTGTACACGTTCTCAGATAAGCTTCTCACTGTGGTCGACTGCTAAAAAAAAGTCTGCCCACTCAATTATATATATATATATATATATATTCGTATGTATAACACACTGAAACTATTATATGCGAAATTGTGAGGCGCATATTCTACTCGCAGACCTAATGAATCGTTTGTGTGGGTGTGTGTATGCATGTGTATGTATGTGTGTGGGTGTGTGCTTAGTTCTATTGACTAACAACTCGAATGGAACTGAGGGCAATTTATGAAAAGCTCGCAGCGCACAATTTGCACCTCGTACCTTGACCAGCCTTGACTTTTCTCATAAATCTAAATTAGACATAGTTATAACATTTTATTACTACTATTATACTATTATTTGTTGTCGCTTTTCCTATATATCATCAAAGATATATGTACAGAATATATACACATGCAAGGCCAGACTGAAAAGCCTAGGAACGACCCAGTAACCGATATCATTATTTATCACAATTGCCTTTGATTGGTATAGATGTTAAATGCGAACTATTTGGCCCGTTCGCTATATGCGTAGATCGGGCATTGAACATATTGACACCTTAGCGCCTTATTCATTAGCAATTCGCCATGGGCAATGGTCAATGCCCATTTTAATAAATAGAACGAATGCCCATCTATTCGTTTCGATACGCTCCAATTTTCGTTTGGGGGTGCGACGCGACTTTCAAGGCTGAATGCACAGTAAGCACGAAAAAAGCACAAATAAGAAAAAAAAAACAAGGTTCCAAAACATTCTCGAAATATAGCGAGGAGTGCCATAGACAGACAATCTGATAAGCTAGACACAAGGCAGGGGTACCAGCCTGAACCTGTGTAACATTCTCTACCCAAAATGGTTCAAGGCACAGAGGAGTGTTTTATTTGGGACTGAATGACTAATAGTTGCCCTATAATGAGTCTGCATTCACTGTATAAATATCTATAGGAACCTAGACATATATACTGCTAGTATATACGAGAAAAACTGCTTATTGTTGTTTATTCTTATCTAGCAAGTACGTTCCTTATATACCTAACAATCTAGTTGAACATGTGAATCATATAGTCAGCTCTTGCTTCTGCTTGATTTATATAGGTGAATATTCTATTAATCTACCCCATTCTCTATATAGCTGAATATTCTCTTCTACTGACAATTTTTCCTAGTTAGGATAATCGTTAAACGCATACCTTATTTTAATACCTATTTAAATTTCTATTGCAAATGCCTTCATCAAATAAAATACCTATAAATTCCCTTTAATTAATAGGCATTAGGCTCTAGGCATTTCAGGTTTAGTTAACGTCATTAATTGGACTGCTTCAATTAGTACAGTTTCACAGTAATTCACTTAATAGCTAAATAATTGCTTGACTTCATCAAATGGCACTTAATTCCGCCACAGATTTGATCGGGTCCAAATTGGTTCTAATTATTCAGTTCCGCTTTGGTTCCCCTAAGCCTTAACTGATTCGAAATAAGCTCTTTTATTAGGGAGGATTAGTCATAATTGTAGGATTCGGAATTTGGCTTCGTAGCTTATCTGTTATAAAAGTGTGTGTAGACAAACAGACTGTTATACACGCTAATAAGTACTCATAATATTTGCTCTTATATAGGTACTCTCCATTTAGTTACACCGAATAACAAATGAGGTGCACATTCTGTTATACACTAAACTTGTCTATCCAACAAGTTGTGCTGTTATACTGTTATTATATACAATCTATTCGCATTCCCGCACTATTATACTCATTCTGCTTACGTATACATTCCATTGTATACATTGCTATTTCCATTGTTATCTATTACTTCGGTCATATCTAGCAACTGTTATACATACTGATATACATATTAGGTGCATTTAATCATGCTGTTATACTATATATGTGAATCTAATATTCACCGTATTATATTGAAGTTATTCATAACTAACTACTGTTATACAAACTGGTATACATGATGATATGTCAATTTACACCAACTGCTATACACATTCCCTACACTTATCGATACACACAGTTGAGCTGTTATATTAGTCATCATCTATTCAAATCGATCAACTGTTATACACATTGATATACATCATTCATAGCATTTTTTTATGTTTGGGCATCAGCTATTGGTAGTGCGTTGTACTCTGTACGTAACCTAATTCTGTTCTACAGTCTATTATCTGCCATTCAATCAATGCCACCCACTGTTATACACGCCGAGTTGCTAGTACCTACGCTAACAGTTTCAGTTAGCACTCTCCCACCACCATTCACTATCACTGTTCTACACGCGTACGTGTCCACACCCATTGACGCATACTGTTATATAAAAGCCACTCAACTCCGGCCGGCCCTTGACGGGCCCGTACGGCTCGCCTTTTGGGCTGACCTTGCCCTTAGACTGACTAGCCCTGACCTTTTGGGCAACGAGCACATTTGCGGCTAATGAAGTCATCCATCGCAGCGTTGGGTTTCCGACTCGTATTAAATATCATAATCCCGCATTTCGTGGAAATGAAAAATGCAACTGAAAATGAAATCATTTAATGGATTTTAATCGAAGCTGAATTGTGAAAATTTAACTTTGGGTTGGGGGCATACGATTCCAAAATGTATTTTTTTTTTTGGAATTGCATTGCCTCTATATATTTATGTATGTATGTGTGTGTGTTGGAATGTATCTATGGGTATGTGTGTATGTGTGTATTCGTTATGCTCATATACAAATATATATATATATATATATATATCTATTTTGGTATTTATCTCTATCTATATATACACATATGTGCTGAGCAACAATTATTTGCGATTCTTCCTCTTGCCACGCGTCTTGCACTTTCGCCGCTTCTTGGCCAGGGACTCATTTCCAATGCTCTCGGATTGACTGATGCAACTGATGCCGCCGCTGACGCTGTCGCTGATCTCGTTCTTATTGCTGTTGGTTTTGCTGATGCTGTTGTTGTTATCAATGCTGTTGGTGTTGTTGTTGGTGTTGTTATTGCTGCTATTGTTGCTGCTATTGTTGTTGTTGTTCTTGTCGTCGTCCAGCTGAAAGGTAACGGTCTTAGGAGAACTAACAATAGGCTCAATATCCTCATAGGTAATCGCAGCTATAACCGCCTTCTCATCCACCTCTACCCGTGCACCCTTAACAGCAACCTCATCTTCACTTTCACTTTCAGCAACGTCAGCTGCTGCTGCTGTCCTCGATGTTGTTGGCCTTGTTGCTTTTGCTGTTGCTGTTGCTGTTGCTGTTGTTGTTGCTTTTGTTTTTGCTTTTGCTGACGGTGTTTGATTAGCCCTTGGGGACGGTTCCACAGAGCCAGCGCACATGCGTATGGGTGCATGATAGCAGATATGGGCGCCGACAACACTGCTGAGTCGCGTCGCATTCGGCTGGAAATCAATTAGCATGGGGCGTGGCTGCACCTGTTTTTTACCGTGGGCCAGCAATTGCTTTTTCTGCGCCTCGATCAGCTGCCGCTGCTCCTCAATCAGTTTCTGTTGCTGCTTGAGCATTTCAATTTGTTTGGCCTTCTGCTCGGCGGCCTCGGCTTGTCGCAGCTCGGACTTTTCGAGCATCAGTTGCTGCTGCTGCTGCTTCAGGCGCTGCTCGTTGGCCAGCAGCGATTGCTGCTGCTGCAGCACAATTCGGCGGCCCAGCTGATCGGGCATCGGATGCTTCTTCAGCTGGTTTATGAGCGGCAAATACTTGACATCCACCACAATTGGCGGCGGCATATCAAAGGCGGACTCCTGCTCGGTTTCGCCATCATCGATGTCGTTATCGCTGCTAATCTTGGGCATCGATGGCTCTTGGTCTGGCTGCGACTCCTGCTCGAGCTGTTGATCCGACTCGGTTTCCAGCTCTGTTTCCTGATCCAGTTCCGTTCCCAGCTGCTGGCTCTGCCCCGACTCCTGCTCCTGCTCCTCCGTTTTGTCCAGCAACTCGCTTTTGCTCTCGCTCAGCCCCTTCTTGCTGCTGCTGCTGCGACGCGAATGTCGCGCTCCTGCACCCTGATTCGCCTGATTCAACCGCCGCACCATCGGACGGTACAGATAGCGTATGGGCAGCGGCTTCTTGCCGCGCGCCAGAGGCTTCGACACAAAATGCTGATAGCTTATGTCGATGCCATCCTCAATGGTCTTGGGCACCTTGTGCTGCTCCACTCGCACGATTTTCGGCGCACACCCTCTGCTGGCCGGCGCCGCTGTTGCTCCTGCTTTCCTTCGATGCTCCTCCTGCTGCTCCCTTGCTGGCCTTGCAGTCGCCAGCTGCTGTGGCTGCTGCTGTTGCTGTTGCCGGATTTGCAGCCGATTGCTCATGTAGTGGGGCGAGCTGGGTCTCAGTGAGGCAGCTGCTGCGGCTGCTGTTGCGGCTGCTGCTTTTGCTGCTTTCGCCGCTGCTGCTGCTTTGGCAGCTTTTGCTGCTGCCTTAGCGGCTGATGTCCTGATTGGTGCGCGCGTTGGCGTGCGCGTTTGCACCTCGGGCATTATTTTGATGACCGTCGACGTTAGCTTAAGGCTCTTGCTGTTGCATTTAAAGGTGCGGGGCGTGTCGTAGGTCTCGCTGTTCGACCAGTTGTCGCTGCTGCTGTTGCTGTTGCTGCTACTGCTGCTACTGCTGCTGCTGGTGCTGCTGGTGCTGCTGCTGCTGCTGGCCACGCCCATAGTCGTTTGATAGTCAGAGTGGCTGGAGGTGCTCTGGCGTTGGGCCAACGCTGGCGCTGCAGAGCACTGACTGTTGTCGATGGACGCCATCGGCTCAGCGATCTCCGCTGTGTGTTGCTGCTCCTGCTTCTGCTGCGGCACCTGCTCCGGCTGCTTGGAACTACTTATGCAGGTCGTATTTTGATCCTGCGCCTGATTCACCTCCGAGGAGGACTCGCTGCACTGGCGAAAATTGCTCTGAGGCATCAGCAGCCATTTCGTCTTTGCCGGCTCAGCGCGCATTCGCAGCGTCCGACGTCCGCGCGGCGCATGCCTCCGACAGGTGCAGACGTGGCCGTTGCCGTTGCCGTTGCTGCTTCCTGCTGACTTGTAGTCCGAGTCGGTATTGGTGTCGTCAGCTCCTCCCGCATTGCTGCGATTGTAACTGCGATGGTTGAGTGTAGCTGTGGCATTTGCTTTTTTGGGCGCCACCTCCTGCTGCTGTTGCTGCTTTTGCTTCTGCTGCTGTTGCTGCTGTTGCTGTTGCTGCTGCTGCTGCTGCTGCGGTCCGATCTTGTACGGGCGTTTGCTGTTCGCGCTGACATTGTTCGCTGCCCTGTTCAGGCTGCCAACGACTTTGCTCGTTATTAGCGCTGTGCGTCGCGCAAACTGCTCCGCGGTGAGCGAGATAGCCGGCGCCTTGGAGTGGGTGGTGCGTCGTTTGGCACTTTTCGATTTGGGATCTCTCGATATTGGCTGTCGCATGGTCGCCCCGTACCGTGCGCTGGAGAGCAGGCCACCGGCGCCCTCGCCAGCGCCCAGGGCCATGGAGCCATAGAAGGCGTTGGAGCCAACGCCTCCGACTCCCGCAATGAATTTCGACCTTTCTAAAGACATTCGCTTGTTAGCTGAATTAAATTAAATTTGAATACGAAATCTTTTGTATTCGGCCCTCGATTAGATTCTAAACGATTATCTTCTATATACATATATATATAAATATTTATGCATAAATATAAGTATATATATATATATATACAAATTTCTTTCTTTTTTCTTATTTGTTTCTTCTTTCTTCTTGAGGAATGGGCGCTCTTCTTGTAAAATTTTTAATTTGAACCAAAGATTATCTGTATTATTATATTTTTTTGGTGTTGTTTTCTTTTCTGATATTTCTGAATTATTTTTTTTTATAGTTTTGAATTTAGCATATTTCCGAAAGCCTGAATCAAATAGTTTGTCATTTCTAATGAGGGACTAAGTATACTGGTTTGAAGTGTAACAGCTGCCTACCTATCTAAAAAATCTGTCTGCTCTACAAACCGCTCGGCGCTGTGCCTTAAAGGTATAGAAATAGATAATGTGGCATTACAAATTACCTATTTTACTTGAATTTCATATTCTCAGTTGTTCTTCTATTATGCCTAGTAATGCTAAATTCGCAAATCTTAATTTCCAATACCTATTATTCATTACCCATCCATTATTCAAAGACTTAAATGTTACCACTATAACAGTGAGCGTAAATTGCATGTTAGCTGAAATTTCCCTACTACTAATGGTTTATTCCTCATGCAAATGCTGAAATTTCCCCACAAATGCATTTACATTTACTTAATGCCTATAATTTGCTTGCTGAAATTTCCCTACTATTTTTTGCAATCCTTTGATCGTGGTGGCATTTGTTATCTGGCAACCACTGTTAATAGTTACTCTTAGTGTTAACTAACAGTGCTGTTAGAGTGGCTTCAGACTTTCGGCTTGTGCTCTGTTATTCCATTTGAATATTGGCCGGCAGAGCTTTGCAAAAGCTTTAAAGCTGTAGAAATCAAGTGAGTAAATATTTTAGTAAATATTTCGTCAATCCTGCAGCCTTTTGGCATCAACAATGGATAAAATGTTAGAATGCAATTTTAAAGTGCAAAGTACACTAAGATTTTGGCAAATGTTATAAAACTCTTAGTTGTATTATAGCTGCAGCAGTCTCAAAAAATCACGTCAATTTCATTTTCATATGCGTGTGACTATGTTTGTTAACTTAAGGCATAAAAATAACGCAATTCGAACTCAAACACCTGCAAAAATCTTCTCAGAAGCTAACAATGACAAATTTTATCTACTAAAGATAAGTTGTGGATTTCTGGCAGACAAATAATACTTTCAAATACCCGTTGTCTTTGTAAATTGACGACTTGATCACGGAAGTAACAGCTATCGTTTATTTTCAAAATCGTAGTCTAGCTGTTCATTAACTGAAAGTTCTTACCTAAAGATACCTAGACAATATTTAAATTGCTTCGTTTGCTTAATCGTGGGCACACATGTAAAACGTTTAATAACATTCCATCTTCTGTTACCCAATTAACATATACATATATGTAAATTTTGTACAGTATGACGACCTTGAGTACTCTGATAAATTTCCACTTGTATTAATTAAAATAAACTGTTAACATAAATATGCACATATTTGAAAAGCTATAATGAAAAACTCAGTTTAATTTGGATTTCGTACGGACTATTTATATATTTAAAGGTAGCTTTTGTGGGCCAATTTCACAGAAATTTTACTTGATTAATTTTACAGTTTTGGCGTTTTTCGATGCTAAACAACAACAAAATTAGAGAAAGATGAGAGATGATGATATAGATATAGATAGATATATATATATATATATGTATGTGTGTGGGTTGAGTACTACAGTAGTCGGCTTCTTTCTCTGTTCTGTTCTGTGCAACAGATTCAAATGTTGCCAAATTATGAATTCGTATCATTGAATGTTACATCTTGAGAGCGCTTTGGCGATTCCGTTTGCTAGGGCGCTTGCTAATCGTACTAGAGTAACGCTTCGATCCTGAAGCGCGATGGATGGTGCTACGTGGCGGTGTGACGTCAGAGACATTGTCGGCGGGTTTTCGTTCACAAAACTGTCGATTCAATACGGATTGTCGGGCAATGTTCATCTCTTCAGTCTGCGCATCAGTGCCGGACATTTTCAATTTGCGGCGACGCTTCTTGCGATTCTGCGCAACCATACGCTTATCGACCGTGCTAACCTTATTGTATAGCTGACATATAGACTGGCACTGCCGACCAGTGTAGAGGCGACGCGAGAGCTGTTCCTGATGGCGTATACCGCAAACGAGCTTATTCAAGTCAATTGTCTGGAGTGTCTGGAGCAGCAGATCCAGATGCACCGGGCAAAATGCATGCTCGTTGAGTTGCCGGAGCAGACGCATCAGATACTTACGCTGATCGGAGGTAAGCACTTCCCTTAGAAACATCAGCCGGACTATCTTGTTTATGTTATCCGCGTCCAGCGGATCGATGGGTTGGCCACACCGATCGTACATGCTATCGTAGATCTCCAAATCGTTAAGTTCCGTATATGGCGCTTTGACATGCTCCATCACATCCCAGACACGATCGCGCGGAAAGCGCTGCAGTGGCTGCACTTGCTGATAGGCCAATTTGAAAAGCAGCGATACCATATACTGTACGGAGCATTTGAATAGGCAGCTAAGTGCCTCAATAATGTGACGATTGCGCCGGCAAATGCAATCGCAATCGGAGGTATACCCATCGTCCTCATCTGTGGAATTCTTTTTGCAGTTCCTGCAATCGTGCTCTTCGCAATGCTGGAACCATTTATAGTTGTCCACGGGTCGCAATTTCTCCAGTGGGGGTCGACAGCAGCCGGTGCGCAAGGTACAACAGCGGACACGGCATGGAGCGCACATGTTCAATAATTTGTTGTTGCCGAACGAAGATCTAGTTTTTTTTTTCGCTCTTTTTTTTTTTTTTTTTTTTTTTTGCCAAATATTAGAGTCAAAAGGCTACATGATCACGCATACGACTTGCACCCAACGTCCCTAGTTCTCAAAAAGACACCCAAATCTGGAGTCGACTGTGCTTGAAGTTAGCTAAACTCGAATCCAAAGCAAAGGCAACTCTGATGTTTTCATAAATGATTTTTAACTTGATGTTTGTTTAATCATTTGGACTTATAGTTTATCCTAATGGTAGTAGACGGAGTAATAGAGGTAGAGTAGGTAGAGAAAGATAGAGGAAGTTGAGACAGCGAGAGAGAGAGGGTAGACAGAGAGGGAGAGGGAGAGACAGATGCCAGACAGGCATAGGCAGAGAGGGAGCGATTGGGCAAACAGAGAGAAAGATAGAGAGTGAGAGAAAATATGCAGAGAGGGAGAACGTGTATGTAGAGAAAGAAAATAGAAAGAGAGAAAAGGAGTATCCCATATTCTACTCCCGTGTACAGAGAGAGACAGAGAGCAAGTAAGAAAGGGAGGTTAACTATATGGAGAGCAAGTACGAGATAGAGAGAGAGGGAAAGAGTATACAGACCGAGGAGGGAGATGGAATAAGAGACGGAAGATAAGAAATGGAAAGAGAAAACTAGATTTAATATTAAGGTATATATAAAACAAATAATATGACTAGTACCAATATAACCCATTAAAAGTATTGTTAAAGAGCTCAGAGAAATCACGTGAGGAAGGTAGAGAGGCAGATAGATAAATAAGACGAGACTGACGCTGAAAATGAGAATTGGGAAAGTCCATGGTAGAGTCGTTCTTTTTGCCATAAATGAGGGTGGTGCCTTTGCCAGATTGTGAACTTAAGCCCTAAGCACTTTGACTTTTAAACAAGTTTCGAATGACTTTTGATAACGTCAAAATTGAATTCTATTTAAGTTTCGGCATTTCCAAATTAGCAGTGAGTGCTAACCAAAATCGTCGAGCGCCCTCAGCATTGAGGGTTCCCTACTATGCAATAGTCAGCTGGCGGTTGCGACTAGCCTGGACAGCAGCTAAAGCGATTGGAGCGCGAAAAGTAACCAAAGCGACAGCAATACTAAAGAGATGACACTGTCCACAGCAGTGGAAGCCATTGGGAACTGGGATCGAGATCGTGCTAAAGATAGCAGCGCAATGGGCTGCCAGGAGCGATTCATGGCGAACGAAATGCAAAACTTTCCGCCATGCGAGTCGAGCGTCGCAAAGCGGCATTTTGCCTTTTGTCTCTGCAAGAAGCACGCCCAGCGACGTCGACGAACGCCCGGGCAGCGGATGTTTGAGCAGCTGTTGGTCAACGATGGGAAGCCGGAGCGCCTATTGGTGCCCGATTTGGCCACGGACTGGTTTCGTAAGCAGAAGGTCTTCCTCGACAAGGTCACGTCGAAGGAGCTGCTGCAAATGCAGTTGACCAAGCAACTGGAAGACTTACCCAGCCAATTCAAGCCTTCGGTATGCGACTGCAAGAGATGCGGCTGCAACGAGCCGAAGGTGCAGGAAAGCATTCAGTACTTGGACTATTGCCAGGAGCTGCGTCGACGTCGCGAGCATCTGCAGCGTCAGCGCCATCATAGGCGTCAGGGCGAGCTTATGTGCGACTGCCACAATCCGCCCGCGTGGCCGTATGCTAAGCGCCAGCGCGTTAGCCAGAGTGACCAGCCCTTGGACAATGAGCAGGCTAAGCCCAAGCCTGAGTCAGAGCTAGACCTAGAGCTAGAGCCTAAACCAGAGCCAGAGCCAGAGCCGGAGGAGTCGAGCAAGGCAAATAAGATAACCGTATGTCCGACACATGTTGCGGGCTGCATGCCGGACACGTCGGCGGAGAGGACTCGCTTTACGGGCGGACTCTCGGTGCGATCGAAGGGCAAGATCTGCCACATGTATCCGCAACGGACGTGCTGCTGCCTGCGAGCGAGACGGCGGAAGTCATGCGGCTGCATCTTTCAGGCGGATGGCCAGCCCATGGGCGATGAATGCATTGCAGCGTGTCGCCGCTTTGAGTCGCCGCTGCCACGCCTACGCAAGAAGTACAGCTTGCGCGAGGTGCCGCAGCGGCGACTGAGTCCGGCGTGCTTTCGCCGCATCTCACCGGAATTCTATGGCCTGCTCAAGAGCTACGAGGACGGCATGAGCAAACGATATCCGCTCTACGGCGTGCCCCTGCGCTGCTGGTGCAAAACTACGCCGTGCTGCGGCTGCGAGCAGCCGGCGACTGATGCGTGCGAGCAACCCTGCCTGGGCGACCAAGGACTGGAGGCTTGCGTCGGCTATCCGGCCAAGAAGGACCGACCCACGAACGATAGCAAAGATACCGAGTCCTCAGATCCGATTGAAGAGCTGCCTCCCAACTGCATGGTTGCACCAGTTTGCGATGACGACACTTGCAAAGTGTACAAGTGTCCCGGCCTTGTATGCACCAGTGCGAAATGCCAGAAGAATGCCTGTGACGAGAATTGCGAGAGCAAAGAGCAACAGTCCAAAGCTGAGCTCGACAGCAATCAGAACGACCAAACGAGCTGTCCGGCGTGCAGCCAAGAGAAAAACGAGGGACAAACTGGAGAATCGCACAATGACACAAAGGACTCGAGCGTACCGAACACAGCGCTCCTCTCGGAGGCTATGCTCAATGCTCGCTCTTTGGTGTCCAGTCAGTCGACAACTGTTGGAGTCAGCAAGGCCGGGCCGGACACTGTGCAACGTTGTTGCTATCCCAAGCAGTGGTTCTTCAAAAATAAGATCGTGAAAGATACGAGCTCCTGCATGGGGGAGGAGCCAGAGCTTAAGGCAAAGCGAAAGGGCATACTCGGCAGCGTGGCGGGTCTTTGCAAGCGGGTCATAATGCCGGGCCGCTATTTGCTCTACAGTCTCAGCACAATGAATCGCCAGCACGTGACGTATGACGATCTGTCACTGAAAAAGCCAAAGTCGTCAAAGGAGCCGCCAAAGGAAATAGTGGATAAAGCAAAGAGTGCATCGTTCTTTTCCAGCAAATCGAAGTCTAGCAACTGGACTCCAAGCCAATCACAGGGCACGCTGTGGCACTCGTCGGCCAGCTGTTCGATCGTGCAGAACAAATGCAACTACCTGAAGCGCAAGCCCATTGCAGGACAATTCGGAAAAATTGGCTCTAAATGGATGTCAGCCAATAAGATCAATCTCACGCCGTCTTTTTTGCCGCATAGACAAAAATTTATGATGGTCCAAGGCGAACGGCCAGAATGGATGACTCAATCGACAACAGATATCGATGAAACGGCAATGGAAACTCGAACTCCAGATCCCACACAGGAGCAGCCGAGAAACGCTCAGCTGGTGGAGGCTTCCAACGAGGAGTCAACGGGACAACCAGAGGCAGTTAACCATAATGCGGTATTCGTCAGTAAGATGTCCAGGACAAATGAAAAACACTCGACGAGCCAAGCTGCGCGAGCCAGCTACGTTCCCAAGACAGACTATTCGCAGCTAATGCATCTTGTGGCACGCAAACGACCCAAGACGGCACACCACAAACGCTGCGCGGTTTCGTTTGCGGAGAAGCAACGGGTTAATGGCAGACAACCGACAAATCTGATGCAACGCCAACAGACACGCAGCAGCAAGGAGCAGCATGAGTCAAGACCAGAGAGACGTCGCAGTGCCAGTCCCGTGCCAAACAAGAAACAACGTACAATTAATCAAGGTGACACGCCCATGCAAATAGCCGAGCCGGTCTACTCCAAGAGTCTGTCATCAGTCCAGCATAGGACGAATTTGCAGGCGCCGAGCTCAGCTTGGCTCTCGGCTTATTGGGATGACAGCATTTCGCTCAAGGATCAGTTCATGTCATGCGAGAGCCAGGAGTCCAAGAATAGAGCGCCCGCTCACAGGCAAGCCATAGATATCCCAGACCCTCAGCCAGCTGATTTAAATGATCACCGGCCAGCCGATAGGGCCCTACAGGACAAGGAGTACGAACCCCACGGACAACAGTATTCGAGCTATACGGCTCGCATGACGAGACTGTACAATGCAAACACTTCCCATGGCATTGGTATGCAGGTGACAAATATGAGCGAGAAATGCCCACGAAACGTATTTGATTCTGAAGAGGTCTACAGTGATCAAAACTTGGTTGAACAACCGCAGCAGCATCGGACTAATGGACCGAGTGTGAATAGCGCTGCCCGGAATGCACATAATGTGTTGGATTTCAAGTCAAATATATCGAATGAAACATCCATGGACACGGTAGAGCATAATGCGGAGCGTGTGGCCAATATAACACACTATGTGCAGGGGCCATCGCAAGGTGATCTCAAAATGAATAGCATTCCGAGTGCACAACAGACGGAGTCCCATGGCGTTACCAATCTCATATTTTCTAAGAGGGCGCCCAACAATAAAAAAATAATAAATCTTCGCGATATGGTGCTGAAGCTGCCCAAGGTAAAGGTCAAATATCCGCATTGCAAGGCGCATTCTCTGTTGTCCACACGTCGTCCGCCTCCACCTCCTAGTCCGCCTCAGCACTTTCGGGTGAGTCAAGTGAAGATGCTGGACGATGAGCAATGGAGGCAACTCCTTGAGCAGGCGAATCTGAATTACATCAATCAGCAGAATTCCACGCGAATGGGTCGAAAATACGGTAGTGGCAGATACTACAAAAACGATAACGATATCGATAACAATAACGGAAATAACGAAAACGAAAACGAAAACTACAATAATGGACACATGAGAAACTGTCGCTCACGTTCCGGCTGCGACGTTCAGTTCCAGGATAATGACTCGCCATCGAATCCAACACAGCAAATGTCCAAGACGCTCTTCAATAATCCCACAACATTGGGATTTATCGGACGTCAAGCCCCATTGCCCAGGCCACGCACGTATGCAAGCAGTTCCTATGCGCAGCGGGCTAAAAAGATCTATACCGCACCTAGTGGCTTCAGGTCCAGCGTGACTACTGATTCCAAAATGGATTCCAGCTCTCAAAAAATCAAACGATTCTCCAGTTCTGAGGATGTTCGGCAACAGACGGTACAGGCGGAAGATCAAAGCGATGAGAGATTAAAGCGCCCGCCAGTGGAGCGCTATCCAAAGAAACCGGCGGCTATGCGGCCGCCCTCGATCTTGACCAGTGAGTTCCTGGGACGCAACCCCAGTGATGTGATAAACGCAGAATACGGCAACAGGGCAATTGTGAGGATGTCTGCCAACAATACGATCGATTGCAGAGACGTGGAGTATGTGCATACGGCGGGTAGGCGCAAAAGCGACATGCTGCCCGCCTTTAGCGAGTCCTTTGGCTACCCGGAGCCAAGTAGACGCCACTCTCAGAGCTCCATTGATTATGCGTTGCCCAGTATCAGGCAGGCTGGCCTGCCACAGCCGAGCTCCATACTGAAGTCCGCGTCGAGGCCGCTGAGCAACATGCTGAAGCAGGTGGCCGATATACGGCATGTGAATTTCATGTCAACCAACATGTCGGACCTTATTGTCCCTTCGCGTGAACATCGGCAGGCCGTCTATGCCGAGGGGGAGGGAACTACCTCCTTCAGCATGCACTCCGGTAAACATCGACCCGCGATAGTGCGCGCCCAATCCGTATACAAGAGCGTGCCGCATAAGTTTAGTTTTATGCAGCCGAAAAAATCGAAGAGCATAGAATCGCCGCTGGCTGAGCAAGAGAAGATGCCATCGCTCTTTGCAATACCTACATTGCCATTTACGCAGGAGACGGCGCATATTGGCAACTCGAAGGTTTACCACCAGAGCTCCACCGGTCACAAACGATTGTCGACACGCACGAAGACGACACCAAAGCAGCGAAAGTTGGAGGAGAGCCGTTTGCCCACTAACTCGCAGCTGTTGACGAAGCGGGGAGACATTCCAAAGATGAAAAGAGTAGCCAAGGATCGTCCAATGCCACGGAGTGTATCCCTATTCTCCGACTTGGATTTCAACACATATTATACGCCCGCACGTCACATTACCAACATAAAGAATACGGATCTTCCCGGCACCACCACCACCGATATGTCGCTCACGCTAACCACTGTGCTGGATCAGATTAAGCATAAGTGCCGCGGCTGCAGCACCAACAGTTGTCCACCCACAGCCGAATGCCGTTTGCCCCCACCATCGTCGTCCGACGATGATGAGGATAGTGAACCGGATTATAAGAGACTGTCATATCCTTGCTCTCCGCACAAAGTGATGGGCAACACTCAGGACTTGGGCGAAGACAATTATCCGAGACGTCGCTGCTGCCTGCGCCGGCTGCCCGAAGAGCCGATTGTCATTGCGCCCACCTCCGCCGGTCTGCGTATGCAGCAGCTCAGACAGAAATGTCTGCCCACGCTCTTTTACGGCCGGAGGTGCTGAGAGCCAAGTCGTCCAGCTGGAGTACACCGCAACGCTTCGCACCCATTAAGTTATATACGCTCGATGTGTCTAAAGCTAGTGTGAACAATATTGATCCGTCTTCTTTCATTTTTTCTTTTTTTTTTTTGTGAGAAAGGGTATTGAATAAAAAAAAGTTACAAAAAGAAGCCCTCTTTAAAATTGTATTTGAGTAACTCCTTATGCCTCCCAAATACTCTTCATATTTACCTCTGGTTTATTGCTCTTTCCTGCCTGTTTGCTGAATCTCTGTGTTGGTGTTAATCGAGTCGTTGTGAAATATTGTATGCAATTATAATCAACGTGAATTTAAACTTCATTTACTTCGTTTGGCACCTCTAAATATTCCTCGATCAGGATTTTCCTACTAAAAGTCCTTGACTGTTGTTACTGCCTGAGCTAACAGCCTGGTTGCAGTTCCCTGTAAACTAACAGCTCTCTGTTAACTCGGAGTTTGTTTCGTTTCCAACCATTTCGATCTCTTTTAACGGATTTTCCTTCTTTGTTCCTTACAGAATCGTCTCGGCCATCCAGGCCTCGTTCTCCTTTCTGGTGGGCCTGATCGTCTGCAAGTCAACGTGCAGCAAGTCGTTTGTGTATGCCTCGCACTTTCTAATGGAGGCATACGGCTGGTTCGGCACCGCCTATTTCATGTACGACATTTGGTCCATGTACAAGGTGCACACCCAGAAGATTGCCGACAAGCTGCACTTGCTGCGCCTGACCAAGTCCCAGCCCTTTACCAACGGCCATGCCCGCAAGTATTACGACAAGGCCGGCGTTGGTGGAGGCGACCGCGGCGGTGGCAACAACAACGGCAGCACGCCGAGCACTCCGCACGAGATATGCGACTATGATGGCGCCTGTGTCCAGATACCCAAGGATGGCCGCTGGGACTTCTTGAAGTATGTGCTGACGCATCCGGTTATGATGATACATCACGTCTTCATTGGCACCTTCGGACTGCTGGTCGTAACGGTGAGCATCGAATGGAATTATATACATATAAACATGCCGTAATACTGTTCCTTGCTTTCAGTATATACGCGGAGGCGGACATTGCATCTATAGCTACATGTTCATGATGGAGTTCTCTACGCCGTTTGTCTCGCTGCGCAGCATTTTGAGCACGATGGGCCTGAAGGACTCGCGTGTGTATATTGTCAATGGACTCCTGATGCTGGTCACGTTCTTTGTCTGCCGCGTATGCATGTGGCCATATGTCATGTGGCGCTATAGCCTGGCCATTGATGCCGCCTCCATGTGGTCGGCCATGTGCGGATTGCCGCGTGGCTGCCTGATCAGCATTGCCATATTGTTCTTGCCGCAGCTCTACTGGTTCTATCTAATGCTTATGGGTGCACTTAAGGTATGTACTTATCCTCCTCTCTCTCTCTCTCCTCTATCTCTATCTCTGTCTCTCGTTTTGTTCTGAGAGAGATAGATAATGTTGGCTCTCATTTATTTTCATGTGTTTTCACAGGTTTTTCTGCCTAAGCGACGGAAGCAGCCATCGGCTCTTGGCACTCAGCCGCAGGCGAATGCCCTGACAGACACGCCCACTTCCACGCCTACGTCCACACCCACGCCTCCAGCTTCACCGAAGCCCACGGCCACGTCCACGCCCTTACCCACGCTAGCCGCCCTCACCAGCAATGGCAAGCAGAAGTAGTGCGAATTGTTAAAGTTGACGAGATGCAATTGAGGAGGGAAGTCCGGCCCCAACTGCATAGCTATTAATACATTCAACTAATGTATTTTAACACTTTTTTTTTGTTTTGTTTTCGCAACACCATTTGCACACGCCTTGCTTTTGTTTATTAACTATTTAACAAGAGGAATCGCAGCAGTTAATTTAACACGATGATTTGAGTAAAGCTTTTCGGACAGAGCTTTTCGTTAGTTTTAGAAAAACAACAGACAGCCTGATCCCAGCCAGAGACACTTGATTAGTTATATATACATTATAAATATATAAATTGCTTACTTTTAAAGACATTACTAAAAAAAAAAACCAAAACAAACAAATACAAAAACAAAAACAAATCAAAAACTATAAAAAGCAAAACACAAAAAAAAAAAAAAATTGAAAAACGAAACGAAAAATTAGAAACAAAATAAAACGATGTTGCTTACTTTTAAAAGGCAAAAACTAATCCAAATGCAAAAACAAACAAAATCAAGTAAAAATTTATGTAACTGTTGTAATCTATCTTCTACAAAGAAGAAGAAGAAGAAGAAGTGAAAGGAAAACGTTGCTAATAGCTAAGATTGTAATGCCCATCTATTGATCAAGCCATATATAGTTAAGGTGCCTGTTAAAGTGCATGTTAAATATTTGAAGATGTGGCAACACTGGCAGCTAGCTCCTTTATAAATCATAAAACTTTCCTATATATATATATATATATATATATATATATATATATATATATATATATATATATATATATATATGTGAGTATATGTATATGTCACATTTGGCAGCTGCCTTCAGTCAGCTTAAATGTCCTGTTAATTGTTTAACCACATGTTAAACTGGCTGTTAAATTAAATGAAATGTTGTAAATGAAATCAAAGAAATTATATATAGAACTCGGCAGGCCGAGGCATGTGTACCTAAGCAGATGTATATGTATAGAAAGAGAAAGTGAGTGAGGGAGAAAGGAATAGAGAGAGATGTGTATGTGTAGAGTAAATGTGATAAGAGAAAATCCAAAACAGAACAGAAAATAAAATCAAAATCGAGCTGCACGAGTTATTCTAATACTATATAAATATATATATATATATATATATATATATATATATATATATATATATATATATACATGTATATATATATATATATATTTGAACCATGCATGCTTAAGATCTTTACAGAAATATGATCTTCCACATGTCGCAGCCCATCAAATTAGATTTGATGGCCAGAGCACAAATATTTAATGTTTCGATTACGAATATGAAGATATATATTCCAAATTCCAACAGAGCTTACAAAATCCAAACGAGCACAAGTGTGTTACCCATATACAAGAGTATATATATATACATATATATTGATGTGTATGTGTGTGCATATATAGTATGTGCGTGTTTCCGTATTAGATAAGTAGTTCAATTGAGAAACGACTCGAAAACCAAACAAATGCTTGACAAACTGTTGCCTTGATAGGTGCGCTTATTGTTCCCAGTGTTGTTGCAACAAATGAGAGGATATAATCGTATATACAAAAACCAAGCAGAAGAGTATATATATACATACATATAAAGAGAGATCTATACATAACGATATATATTCTAACCCAACTATATACCCAGCTATATTGTACTAAAAGATTTTTTTTCTTTATTATTATTTTATTATTTTTTGTGTGAGACGACAGTGAAAAGTACGAAAATATTTACAAGTCATTAGAAAACTGCTTAAATAACTAAAATGAAAACTAATTGGTTGCTACAAATATGGATGTTATTATAAATAATATGGTTGTTGTACGTATTTACCACGCAGGGGTTAGAAAACGAAAAACAAAAATTCCCAAAAAAAAAAAATAAAATCATTTTAAATCTAGCCGAAATTCTGGAAATCTGAATAGACTTTTTACAATGTATATGTATGTGTTTATAAATATTGAAAAACGAATGAATCCATATAAATTAAATCTGGTTTTTCAACTCTGTTTTAAAATTGTAATTAAGACATGAAAATTATTTTTGTGTGAATTATATTGTACAATTTAAGTGTAGAATTGTCTAGAGAAGTAGATTATCTTATTTGTTTGAAATGCTTCCATTATCTTATCTCTCGGAATCGGTCGAGCTATACAATTTTCAGCAAGTCGAATTTATAAAATCATTTTTGTTGTTTTCCCCCTTTTTATTATTTGTTATTTTTTGTATACTTGGATTTTCCTAATTAGTTTATAGATTTTTTTTTTACAAATACGCTTAAAATGAAACATAAAATAAAGTGTGTGTGTTTTTTTCGATGTCTCTATTATCACATCTTGTTTACATTGTGCTGCGTTTTTTGCTAGTGGGCGTGTCCGTGTCATCGCCACCCTCGTCGTCGCTGCGTTCGGCTCGCTTACGTTTCTTCTGATGCTCCTCGACGAGCTGGGAGATGCGTATGTGATTGCCGCTCATTTGCAGCCAGTTGATGTACTACAATGGACATTGGATGAGTCGATGATGTCGATATCCGCTGGGATATGGCAGGAGACTTACCTGGGTATTGGTGCGCAGACCCGCTTCGTGGAGCTTGCTCTCGATGTTGTCGAGCCGATGCTCGCGTTTGCTCTCACCATCGTTCTTTGATATGTCCAACAAATGGCGTACGCGCTGGCGCAGAGTCTCAAATATGATGCGTCCAATCACATGGTTGCGATCGTAGGGCGTTAGATAGCGACCAAACTCGTAGAAATATGGATGCAGTCGACCCAATTCGATGTGCGTTGTCTCTGCCTCGCAAACGGCCTTGTGCACGTTCTTGTATATGTCCGGCACGCCTATTGTGAAGTACGAATTGTTCACTTTCAGCTCCTTGATGTACCACAGCGGCAGATTAATCGTTCGGCCGGGCTCCAGGTCCTCCGTTTCAGCACCGGCATCTAGGAAGCCTGCAAGAGCAACGAGAATATAGCGTCCCCACAGATCACTTACATTAATCATTGCTTACCCAGCCGCTGTAGACGGGTATTGACTTTGCACTCGACCTTCTCTTGGGTGACAAAGATGTCCTCAATTGAATAATAGTTTGGAAAATAATTCATCATTGCTGAACAGCTGCTATTTAAGCGCCGAACGCAGTTTGTTGGTAAACAGAGCGCGAATCGCGCAATTTTGAGAGCCTTGAAGTTGGCTGCGAACGCAAAAAACAAAACAAAAATACGATAGGTCATACAACTACAAAAAATTCAAATAGCTATTGGTATTATTAGTTGAGAAATCAAATTCATTCTCTATTGGGCTTTTACTTGTCAATCTAATTAATTAATAAAGAAAGGAATGCGGCGATGAAGTATAGACAACTTTTAAGTTTTCATAAAAATCAAATGTTTTAATTAATTTCAATAAGTATATTTTAAATCAGGAATATTTTATAAATTCAAGTATTTGCGCTTTTTGATAGTTTATTTGAATGTGCGCGCCTTCAACAGCTGCTTTAACGCAGCCTACCGACAATTCTATTTGCCGTAATATGATAAAATAATAAAATTGCATATATTTAATAATAATAAAAACAATGATTGGTTTATTCAATTTAAACTATATGATTGAAAAATAAATTTTACAAATAGTTTTCATCATGGTATTTTAGCTGTAATCGATATCGAAATTCTTGGGTATTTTTTAGCGTCAAGTGTCAAGTATTTTCGTTTACACTCTTCGTGGCCACACTTGCCCAATAGTTCACGCGAGACTGTCGCCATGTTTGGTTATTTTATTTGTTTTTAACGCGGAGTAACATCAGATAATTTGAAGCGCTCCTAGTCGAATGTGTCGTGGAATTTTGTTTGAATGAATAAATTAAAAGGAACGCGTCCGCACTATATTACCGTACATTATTTTTTTGTCAGTGCAGTAGCATCCAGTGAGAAAATCAACACAAACAACAATTGTTCCATTTGCACAAAAATAGCCTAAAATTTTAACAGCAACAACAGCAGCCGCGGCACCAATACCAACCACAATAACAACAACAACAGCAACACTGTAACTGTAAAACGCCGCAACGCAACAGAGCAAAAAGCGCTGAAAAGTGTTACACAAAGTGAAATTGCCTTTTGCGGCACACACAAAAAAAAATTAAGTACACGGCACAGCAGCGGCAACACAACAACAACAGCAGCAGTAGCAACAACATCAAAATAACAAACAACATTTTGTGCGTGTACGTTTACTTTTGAGAGTTGTTGTAGTTGAGCCGCGAACAATTCCAATTGGAGTTCACTGCTGACTGCATCTAGAGAAGGACAACAACAAACATACAAGTAAAAACAAAAACAAAATAATCATGGGCGATTTTGATTTAAATGTGGACAGTCTCATACAACGGCTGCTGGAAAGTAAGTAATCAAAAATACCTCTAGACCTATTATGCGGTTTATCTCCCATTCTCTTTCCGACAATTCCCCGTATTCTTTTAATTTACAACCTAATTCTGGCTGGCTGGCTGGCTGGCTGGGCTGTGTGTGTGTGTGTGTGTGTGAGTGAGCGAGCGAGCTAGAGAAATCAAGAGAAAGAGCGAGAGAAAAGGTGCAGAGAAGAGCGCCTCAAAGCGATTGCATTTTCTAATTATTCCACATTGTTCGTTTAATTTGCAACAGCAACAACAAATGACGCAAAAGCAGCCAATTACAACAACGACAACAAGAACAAACACATGCCGCACCGTAAGCGGCCTCCCCTCCCCATTTAATTTGACTTTTGTATCAATTAATTTTAATTGATTTTCATTGCTTCTCAAATGCAGCCAGAGAGCCTCGTTCTTGTTATTGTTATTGGCTGGTGTTGTTGTTTTTGCGGTTTGTTTGTAATTGTTTATTTTTCTTTATTATTATTTTTATTATATTTTTTTTGTCAACATGCTTAACATGCTCATTAGCAATTAACAGCGGCGCCTTTTCACATAACAGCGGCCTGCCTGCTACCTAACATGATCGTTAACGTCAATTTGCGGCTGTTAAGTACGCGCCGTTACTTTTCATTGCACTCCGCTGCTTCTTCTTTTTATATAATGCCCATTTGGGCCATGGCAATGCGTTGCCGCATGACGTCATCGCACAGCGACATAATTGGCCATTTTGCTGATAAGCCGATCGTGATTCAATTTCAAGTAAAATACAAAAAATTTACTCATTCTACAAATGTTTAAATGCTAAAAAGGGGCATTTGCATCACGTGAGACGCCAACGTTTCGACTCTTACCTGCACTGATAAGAGCAGGTAAGCAGTGTGTTAATTGCCTTTAAGTATTCGCCTCGCTGCATTTCTTATTAACATTTAGCATTTACATTACAGCAATGCGCCCCAGTCGTAAGCGCGTAAACAGTTTAGGTATTTCTGTTTAGCACAGCGGAAGGAAGCGGGGCGTTGGGGCAGAAGAGGGCTAACGGGGGGCGGGGATATTTGTATGTAGCCTTCAGCTTAAGCCGCTTATTGTGCGCCCGTTTTGTGCGGCAGGTGGCGCTGCAGCACTGATCGGTTTATTGACGACTTTGGCTTGTCTGCAAAATTGCATTTGGCCACAATTTTTCAGCAATTGTTGTTGTTGCCACTGCTGCCATTGCTGTTCATTTCCGCACCGTGGCTCTGACGTGGCCACCTTCAGCTAATGATGACCCCCACAAAAAGTGCAGAGAAAAAAAGAATAAAACTAGAAGCGAAACAAAAAAGAGAAAAACCATAAAATAATAAAGAGCAGCCATTAGTCATGAGTGATGTTTTCGCGTGGGCGGCCACGCCCTACGTCAAGGCCGACTCCCTAGGCCAGGTCATGCACTCTGCAGTGACTCTGACTCTGGCACTGTCTCTGTCACAGTGGCAAAGCAAACAGATATAAACTTGTATATATATATATATATATATATATATATATGTATATATGTTATCATTAATTTGAATTCCCCTTCACTGCGGAGCGACTTGCTGGTGCCGAAATTTCATTTTTCAAATTGCAAATTGAAATTAAATTTTCACGCCGCAGCAGCAGCAGCAGAAGTAGCAGCAGAGGCGGCAGCAGCAGCTGTTGCTACGACCCACTCACCCTTTCTTAGTTCGACCACCATCGTGGCAGCCACACCCATTCGATTATCAGTTTGCAATATATATATATATATATATATATATATAGGTTTATATATTTTTATATTTGATTTTTTTCGCCTCGCCGGGCAATTGGTCTCGAGTGTGCTTCCGTTCGATAAAAGTGACCAAATCCATCAATCTTCTACATCAATATCAATATCAAATTTTAGCCAGTTACACCGCCAAATATAAATAGAAATTTCATTTTGATTTGCCGTTGAAAATCGAAATTAAACGAACAATTAAATTGTAGCGAAAACTAATTTGGAATCTTCTGAAAGAACATTAGGAAATTCTTCTACACGAGATGAATGAAATTAGCTTTGTTAGGAATATTAAAAATGTCTATGTTATTAACAGTGCTATGTAGAAATATCCGTTTAACACATGTGTTCACAAATTTCCCTAAATATCTCCTTGGGGATCAAATCAAATTGATATTAATACGAAATGAAAAATAATTGATCAAAAATGTTATTTTTAACAATTTAAATTATAATAATGAAAATAAAAGGCAATTCGCTTGCTCTTTAGCCAGCTCTCTACCTCTTGTACAGCTCGCTTCTGGTCCAGCCGCCACGCCCTTTGGTCAGCCCCAGCACACTTTATCCAATTTTTATTTCGTTTGATGCTATATTTAATCTTTACTCTATATATCTACATGTATCGATATGTATTTGATCTACGTCTCTATATCAATGTAAATGTATGTATGTGTTCAAAAAAAAAAAAAAAAAAAAAAAAAACAAACAAAAGATTTCAAAAAACAAAAAGAGGCCGAGGAGCATGCACAGAAGCTGCTCATCGCTCAGCAATTGGCCGCTGCTGGCGGCGGCAGTGGCAGCGGCGTCTCTGCCTCCAGTTCGGCCGCCTGTTTAGTGGGCGGCAGTAGCAGCAGCAGCAGCTGCAGTGGCGCCACCGCCGCATCGGCAGCAGCAGCAGCAATGACAGCAAACGATCCGCTGGACGAGCTCACCGAACAGCAGCGCCGCATGCTGCAGCAATACTCGATATCGCCGCCCAGCGAGACAATGATATCGGCCGATGGCGATCAGATAACGGTGCATCATCCGCGCGAGGAGCCCAAGAAATCCAGATTGAAATTGCGCGACTTCTTCGTCGCCGAATTTGGTATTTTATTACGATGATGATCACATTGATAAGCAATCGCTCGTTCTCTCTCTCGCTCTCTCGTATGCTCGCTCTCCCTGCAAGCTAAATACCACAATCATCAGCTCGCTCTCTCACAATTAGCGCTCGCTCGCTCGCTCCACTCTCTTTTTCTCTCTCGTTGTCTCTGACTGTGTAAAGAGTGTGTTTGTATGCGTATGTGTGTGTGTGTGTGTATGCAGTGAAAGTCTTAATTCTGTGATAGTTCTTAGAGAACAGTAAACAAAGTTCACTTTAACCTGTCTCTCGAGCGAACATCTCATGCGAACAAGAGACGTTCGCTAGTTAGAGCTTTCACTGTATATAGCCCGTCATGTTGTGTCCCAATCTAGCCCAGTTTCCTTTGCTGCAAAGTTGATAACAATTGACATCTGCTGATTACACTCATTTTTCGCAATACGAATCCTTCGGCTTAATCCTTTCATTACGCTGCTGAAGCACACAGCACCACACATCAGCAACAGTAATAATAACCACAACAACAACAACAACAACAACATTAGCAATTGTCATTGCAGAAAGTATGCAAAGTTTTTGTTTGGTAAAATTCTCTGTTTACACAAGAGAATTGAAACAGAATGCATATTTCATTCCCTTGTGTTGTGCACACAGCATTGTAAAATATGTTATTTGTTTCAATTCCAGTGCATTCCCTTATACATACACACACACACATCAGCAGCTGCTATATACATACATATCTCCCGTGAGAGCAGTTCAACTTTGTATTTCTTTTTTTCCAAGTTTTTTGTTTGCCTAAAAATAGCAGCGAAAAAAGTAATAAATGCATTTTATGAAAGTTCTTGCGCTGTTAAACTCATTTGTGTATATTCAAAAGAGATTTACACAAGCATTTTCCTAGAAGAATGTAGATATTCATATGTATATACATGTCTCGCACAACATAATCGAAATTTTTTGAGATCAATTGAATAACGCGTTTACAATACAATTGCAAATCTATTCCAATTGGGAACCTGTAGCTAACATCGTAATTTGCTGTAACTGCTAAATTTGAGCAATTTCCATCGTTGCTGCATTTTAATAACTGCAAATTATTTAGTTAACTTTCAGCTAATTTCCCTTTGCTGCTGGATTCTTATTTGCTCTGCTAAGGGAATGTTAAGACTTCTGTAAAATGGCTAACTGCTAAATTTACATCACACGTAATTTTTTGGTTAGCTGTTAAGTATTTGCTGCCGTTCTGTTAGCACTCTGAATTTGCTATTTTAACATTATTCAAGTAGCTTTCAGCTATATGATCAATCCCCCATTTTGCTATATGCAATTTGTTGTTGTTGCTTTACCCTTTCGCACTTCTTGCACAATTTGTGCACTTGAGTGCATTGTCATTGCCAGAGCCATTACCAATGTTTCGTGGTTAGCTTCCCGGTGCTCAAATTCATTTTTTCCTCCAACACACCCACACACACACATGCACACACATGCACACACAGAGTCAGCTTAGTTTAAGGTATGTAATTGTTTTCACACGCCAGATTTGCAAATGTCAAATAAATTCTGTCATATTATGCACTCTCCGAAAGAGGGGGACCAATAATAATGCATAACATTTACATGGCTGATTTTTTTTGTATTTTGCATTTCTCTCTCTCTCTGTGTGTGACTGTGCGTGTATGTGTGTGTGTTTGTTTGTTTTTTTGTTTGTGGAAGTAGCTGATTGTGACACGCGACTGACACCCAGCTACTCAACAGCGCCCGCCTCTAGCTCCGCCCTGCCCCCCCAAATGTTCGCAGCCAAAAACAATAATCGTAAACTATCTCAAAATTGATTGGCGTTGAGTGTGCAAAAATTTGCCATTGACATGAAAGCGGAAACAGTCGCCGAATGAAATTTGCCATTCGCTCGGCGCTGTTTGCTTTTGTTTATATTTGTTTATATACATTTATCTATACATATACACACATATATATATATATATATATATATATATGTATGTATGCTCATATATAAATATATATAGACGCTATGATATACGCCTCTTTTGTCGTGTGCAAACAAGTTCATTCACGTGATTCGATAGCACGGTCTATGTATGCCTCCCTCCCCACTGAGCTGTACCCAAAATAAAATATAATAAAAACCAAAAGCCATTTAGCTAATCAGTCGCACAGAGCACAGAACTCAATGAAGGTTACGTAGACCCACAGCAAGCCACAACAACGACATAATGTCTGTGCCCAAGTAAACGCTTTAAATGACTTACACTGTCTAACCTACATGTTGAGCATATTTGAGCTATACTATTCTATATATATATTATTATCATAATGCAACTACAACAATTTGTACTTGAAAATATATTGATAAATTCTGGATTTTTGGCTTTACGAACTTTTGATAAGTCACGGAATAACGATCAATTTAAATTATCCATAGAGTAAGTTATTCATAAGTTGTGTAACCTTTAAGTAAAATTAGATAAATATCGATCAATAACGCTGATTCGTCTGTTATCATTTTATGGTAAATATATTTAATGATTTCCATCAAACTGTTATATTTGGCTAAACTTAAAAATTGTTATATATGATGAAACTGATAAAGTCTTCTATTTCGAGACAAATTTATTCTATGACATGTATTAGTATTTAACCTTATATTCTGAAAAACTTTGAAACTGTTATAATCGATGAAACTTACAAACTATAATATTGTATGGGAATTCACAGCTTTATATTTGGTTAAATTTAAGAACTTTTACATCTGATAAAACTCACAAGCTGTTATATTTTGGAGAATCTTTCTAGCTGTACATATTTATATGTACAAAATAAGACTAACAAATATTTAAAAAATTTTAATATTTGTATTTTTCAAACTGTTATATTTGTAATATACTTTGATATAAATTATGCCATTATATTTGGCTGTTATATTTAAAAATTTTGCATATCTTATAAAGTTTACAAACTGTTATATTTTGGGTGAACATAGATTTATTTTTTTTACGAAACTGTTATATTTGGCGAAACACACAAATTCTTATATTTGGGGAGACTTACAAACTGTTATATTTTGAGTACTTGTGGACTATTACAAAGAGGAATGAGTAAAGACGCACTTTATAAACTGTTGTACACATTTGGGGAAACTTGCTAACTGTTATATATGAAAATATTCTTATAAAAACTGTGATAATTGATGAAAATTGATATGAGAAACATTATCATAAATCTACTTCAACATCATTGTAATACTCAGTTCGATCCATAAACTGACTCATTGCTGCAATGCAATGGGCCTACCACTATCTACCTTCATCGACAGCATTTTTAAAGCATACGGAAACGTTCCATCATCATTCAAAGTTATCTAAGAAGTGCACAACAAGCAGGTCAGACAACTTGGCCCTCGCAACACAGATAACAAAGACTCGCATATTGATAAAGTTGAAGTAATAAATGAATTGCTGTAACTATTTTAGTTGCAAATTTTATTCGCACAGTTGATTGTGCAGTGTTATCGATTAGTGTTGATTGTGTGAAGAAATCATGATGTGTGACTCTATGAAGGCCCCTACTCCCTACTCCCACTCCTACTACCATTTCCACTATCCGTTTCCACATTCGACTTGATTTCGTTTCGTGCTCAAATATCCTTCGTTATTTTTTGATGCATTTCTAATGTTTGTATAATTGAGTTGGTTGACTTGTTGTCATTGTTGTTGTAGTCATCGTCGATGTCGCCAGAGAGATTGCCATATGTTATCGTTGTGGTTGTTGTTGTTGCGGTTGTCGCTTTTGCCAGGGGGCATCTTTCAAGTCTGTTCGCGTCTGATTGAAAATAGAATTTGAATTTGAATGTCATAACCTTCACTTGCGTCGCATCAGCGTGCCATCCATTTGTATTAAAATCATAATGGTATATAATAATAATAAAAGGAATATAATTCACTGCGATGGTCCAATAAGCATTCACCAACTGACAGCGGTTCGACTTATTGCGTGTGAATTTGTCTAATGCCAAACGGGAAGTAGAATCCAAATAATAATAAAAAAGAAAATATATATTTATATATATATATAAAAAGAAAAAATAAATAAATAAATAAAAATAAAGTGTTCTTGCGTTTTATTATGTGGGTGGTGTGCCCCATCCCCACTCCTATCTTGCTTCCTTCCTCCAACTTTTCCGCTAATGCCGTGCCATTTGGTTTAAGTATTTTTTGATTAGCCTGCGCCATTGACTTTATCACAGTTTGGACTCGACCGATATTCTTGATGGGCTCTGCTGCCTAATTGGGTGTTGTGCGCAAGCACAGTTTATATTGAATGAGGTGCAGATGGTTCGAATGGCATTCAAGACAGTCGGACTATCGATTGAAGCAATTACTTATCGTTCCCAACAGAGAATGTCCTTCATGTAAGCTGTTAGCCTGCCATAATTTATGACCCGAAATTAGGGAATATTTTGGATAGCAATGCCCTTTAATAAACATTAAACTGTAGTTAAAAAGGTACCAAGGAAAATCATGGCTATGACAATTTATGATGATGAAATCTGTAATATAATGGCAACAGGTATTAGAATATTTGGTATAATAATTTCGGATATAACTATATCATATTAAATAATGATAGAGTAATTTATAATATAACAGCTCCCTATATAGGACTCTGTATTATAACAGTTACTGGTATAGCAATTTTATATATAATCATTTAGGATTAAATAACATTTATCTATGTCTGTTATAATGATTTGCGATTTGAGAATTATTTAAATATAAATTCTTGAGATAACTCATCCTGGTGTAGCGATGATTAGTATAATTATTCAGTAATTCCGTATGTGTGTACGTTTGTGTATAGTTCTTAATATAATAACTTTAGGTATTACAAGTTCTGATAATGAAATTTCTCTGAATCGGAGAGAATGGCGAGTACTTCTTTTGGAATAATCATATGTTACATGTACATGTATGTAGATTTGTATG